GCCAGGCTTCATCCATCCAAACTGTGTCTCACCAAGGCCATCAATGGCTCTTCTGCCTTTTAACAACCCTCCTCACGTCACTTCAGCAAGTACTACAAATTCTGTCAACATCTAGACCCACTGTCCAATCTTGTAGCAATATATCCTACCTCTTGGCTCAATCTCAGGCTGGAAAGACTACATGCTAGTAATACCTGGTTTGGGAAGTAATGTTAAAGACAAGTGAGATAAAACCTGGGTTACCCCGCACTGAAAAGATGAGTGAACTTAGGGTGGTACTAGAAAGACTGAGATTTAAATGTGTTTCACTGAGTATTTTCCCCATCAGCAGAGGCTGTTGCCAGGTTTCAACTATGGAGGAACTTAGGATTGGATCTGCTTGGAAGGCTTAAAATCTTCTCAGGTCTGCATGACATACCTGAGCTACAGGGTCCGGCCAGCGAATCTGGCCAGCTGTTGGCTGTGTTTAGATTCAGGAAACGATTTTCAAGAAACTTTGAAGCCTGTGTGGGGGTTTAGCACAATCTGATTTCCTGATATGCTGTCCTGGTGGAATGAGAAATTTTCTTTGAGGCCACATTGAATGTGTGTGAAGGAGTAGACTGTGTTTTCTCTTACAATGGAACCTTATTTCCTGATAACTGTAAGGCATTTGTCCAGTGACTTTACCCAACTGGAAAGATGTCTTGAGAATTGTAGATGCAGGGGAATGAAGTATGATTATGATCAAAATACATTATATATGTGTACGAAAATATTGTTACAGACTTGTGGCAAATGTCAAGAGCTGCTCCCCAGCCACTAAGTGTGTCCTCTTTGTCAGTTGTGGGGCTTGAACTCAGGGCCTGGGCACTGACCTTGAGCCTCTTTGTGCTCAAGGACAGCACTCTACTACTTGAGCCACACCTCCACTTCCAGCTTTTGGGGGGTTAATTGAAGAGTTGCACAGACTTTCCTTGTCCAGGCTGGCATTGAACCATAATCCTCAGATCTCAGCCTCCTGAATAGCTACAATTACAGATGTGAGCCACCAGCACCCAGAGAAATGTGTCCTTCAGCACCCTCACTAGTTTCAGGTCAGATCTGATCAGTCCTTTAAATGATTTGGGGGGGGGGGGGAGGTGCTGGTTCTGGAGTTTTAACTCAGGGCCTGGACACTGTCCTTGAGCTCTTTTGCTCAAGGATAGTGCTCTACCACTTGAGCCACAGCTCCAGTTCACCTTTCTGGTAGCTAGTAGGAGATAAGAAGTCGTAAGGACTTGCTGAAGTAGCTGGCTTTGAACCACAATCCTCAGATCTCAGCCTCCTGAGTAGCTAGAATTACAGGTGTGAACCACTGGCACCTAGCCTTTAAACAATTCCTCCTTAAAGGATTGTTGAAGGTATGATTTCAGACCCAATAGTTTTTGGGAGGACTGTTGTCCATACTATTCATTTACAACCTTAAGGAAGCCTCAGATGACGTCCTCTGTTTCCATTCCCCCAAGTGTCCTACCAGGCTGTGTCCACTATCTACAAGTCAGTCATTTCTATCGCCACTCCTAGAGCTAGCTATGGTCTGACATCTGTAATCCCAAGAACCATCCTGACACATTCATGTAATGTGACATGCCATTTGCTTCCCTTTCAAATCAATTGCAATGACTTTAGCTAGCCCTTTGTACAATTACTTATCAATTTTTAGAAGCACAGGGCAATCTAGTCTCTTCTAAGTATTTATTCTACTTGAAGTTGCCAGTCCACCTGGGAGACAGTGTCCTTAACAGTCAGGTCTTCATGTACCCCTGCTCACTCGTCCAGATGGCAGTGGGCAAGGTTTTACTGTTTCCCCAAGGTGCAGTGGGCAGAGGCAGAGCTCATCCCTAAGCAGCAGGCCTGTAAACTGAGGACACTAAGAGAACTTATGTCAGTTCTCCAAGATCTTCACTAGGATGTCACTACCAATGTGTATTAAAAACCTAAATACAAAGGTAAGTAGCTTGGAACCCAAGAGAACACTCCAATTATAACCATTCTTTAATTGTTTAGAGTTTCTAAAATAAGACTTTTCAAAAATCTTTCCCATGAGTTTCTAAGCTTTAGCAGCAAGAACATTGTGACACAAGCTTCAAAAATGTTAATTCGCAGCACAGCATTGCAACCCAAAGAACAATGGGAAAACACTTCTTTCAAGCTACAATTTGCAAACTAGATTTGGCCAAATTGCAACCATTTTGACACAGCTCTAACTGCAAGCTAAATCACACTTAGCATACTTCGCAGCCCCAATATGGGCACAAGTATGACAAAAATCCCAAATTTGTCAGGCCTAATGAAAAGATCTTCCTCTCTTCAAATTCTTCTGGGGTTGTGTATTTGAGACAACTATGGGGGGGGGGGGGGAGAATTATAAAACAATGTATGTTTTACATCTTTTATTTTTCAAAATGTTTCATTTCTCACTTATTCCTCATAATCTTCTGTTCAAAATTTTCTGAGCAGCCAGGCGCAGGTGGCTCATGCCTGTAATCCTAGCTACTCAGAAGGCTGAGATCTGAGGATAGTGGTTCAAAGCCAGCCTGAGGAAGGAACAGTCTGTGAGACTCTTATCTCCAATAAACGACTCAGAAAACCAGAAGTGGCGCTGTGGCTCAAGTAGCAGAGCACTAGCCTTGAACTGAAGAGTTCAGGGACAGCACCCAGGCCGAGTTCAAGCCTCATGACCAAAAAAAAAAAAAAAAATTCTGAGCATAGAACTGATGGTTGCTGTTCCATCCAATTTGGCAGGTATTAACTCCATATCACTGAGTATCTGAAATGTGATTGTGATCAGGGAGCTAAAAATTCTGAATTGAAAATACTTTCAGTGGAAAAAACACCATATAGTATCCCTTAAGGGCTATACTATTTTATGTTCTCACCAACAGGGAAATCTATTGTCATGAGGGTTCTAGTGTATTAACACCCCTCAGTAAATTAAATTATTGACAGTACTAGGGTTTGAGCTCAGGGCCTTAATATTGCTAGGCTGGGGTACAGCTGAGCTATGCTTCCAACCATTTTTCGCTGGTTATTTTTAGCATAGGTCTTAGAATAAATCTGTGAACACGGGATGCCATTGTACTCAAATTGGTCACAATCAAGACTATGGTTTACAAGAGCATTTAAGATACCAATTCTCACCGAAATATAAATTTCCAAAATGCCCAAGGGAAAAAGTAAGTTTATGTATATTCTTCTAGGTCACTTTACCATGACCTTGTGGTGATTTTGATCTGTCCCTCTATGAATGCTGTTGATAACACTTTCTTCAGCACCATGTCATTCTGATACTTCTACAAATTCCATCAACATTATAAGATTCATGGCAATATTACAAGCTTGCCCTACAAGCCATATCAGAACCACCTGAAAAAATTGCTTATCAGTATCAATAATTGAGCATCTTTACCAAAAACTGCTTTTCTGAAAACACTGAGGACAGAAAATAAAAGTGAAGGTCAACGAGAAAGCGAAAATAACAAACCAACATTTTTTTGAGTATGTATTGTAGTGTTTGGTTAAAACAATTACCTTGTTTGTAAGTGCTCTGATTATGAGTGTATTACTAAAGTGCTTTTTCCTCCCTTTCTTTTTTTTTCCTGTGAGAGAAGGAAAGCAATGAAGGAAATGAAAGAGTTCATTTAAGTGCCATAGTCACATAGGGCCAATTTGTAAAAGCTCAATCCAGCTGAGTCTACTTACGGCCACCCCTGACCGGCAGAACTTCAGTTGAGAAGACTAATTGAGATTCTTTGGGAGACGTCCGTTGTCTTAGCAGTTACAGAATGTCTCATTACGCATTCTGTGCCTCCCTCTTCTCTGGAATACTAAGTCACACTCCACATGGCCTGAGTTTACAGCTTGAAATTTTCGAATAGACTCAAATACAGTTATTGTGAGACTATTGGTTTGGTTTGCAACGGTTTGCTTGTTTTTTTTTTGTTTGTTTTGTTTTTTAATCTCACACTGTTACATTTAAGAGGACTACACTAGTTACACTGGCATAGTTTAAAACAACAACAAAGAGAAATCCATGCCCCACCTCCAGCAATCCAATACAGGCCCAAGTGCCCATTCAATGCCTTCTCTAGCAACACACTGGAGAGGTGTATGCTATAAACAAGAACCCACCAGAGCAGATGGCTGGAATTCAAGAGAGAAAACTCCACAAAGCCTATTTCCTCACAAGATCCAACCTTAGATACAGATGTAAGACGAACTTTTTGACTTTGACTAGATCAGTAAACTCATTTCAGTATTTTTATTTTCTTCTTTACTAAGATAACATGTTGTAGACTCCTCTGAATATTCTTTAAAAAATGCATAAAGATGTTTGAGGAATCAATATCCCGGGGAAACTACATGTTTACATTAAAAGTTTATTTAGAAGCCTCTTCCATGATTTGGAAATCATTTTACATGACATGACTTTGGAGTAGTATTTTCTCCTACTGGGCTTGCAAAGATTCATGTGAAACTAAGATAGTACAAAGGTCTCCAGGCACCTGTTATTCCCATTATTATTGTATTATTGATGGTTTTTTTTACTTATATGTAAGTGATATGGGTTATTCACTTCTATGGCACAAACATACATTTTATATCCATATATGTGGGGGTTGGTATATCTGTTATAAACACACTATGGCCTATCTGCCCCTAAGCCCAAAGTTTGGCTGATTTATTCCATTTGTTCTTTTCAAACAAGAATTTAAAAATTTACACATTTATATCATTTTTTTCAGAGATTTCATAATTACATTCTCCAGAAGAAAAAGGTAAAAGTTCCTATTGCTATAAAATTTCAAAGTAAATATTTTTCTTTAATTCTAATTGTACTAGTTTATTTAAACTATTTTTTTTTCAATTTTTAAATGGTATTTTGAAGAAGGCCTATTGGTAAATGAAATCCCACTGATGATTTATTTTTAGCTTTTAATATGTTTTCTACTAAAAATCAGGCTGCCAAGACAGGAAAATATTACTGGTTTTGTTATTACAAAAACAAGTGAGGTTTTTTTAATTCACAAAGGATGAAAACACAAGACACAGATCTCATTGTACATATAATATTACAATAAAATGACTAGCTGTAGACCAATGAAACACTTAAGACTTCACATACACACATATGTACTTTGAAACAAGGAGCACAGGACAATTTTAATCTTTGATATGTTCATGACCACCAAGAGAAAGAACATCACAGATTTAAATCTAATTGTTTTCCTGGTATACAATCAAGAAACAGGCAGTCCTAAAGCATACTGTGTTATAAATGACATCTTTAAGCAAACACACACATTCTGATTTGGGACTTTTTCTCCCCACTTGAAACAATCTGCTTTAGCTGTCAAGTAGTTTGGTCTGATATCTATTTAACAGTATCACAACAACAAATACAGTATCTTAACCACAACTTAGGAACTTTTTTAGACAGATCATACAAAGATAGTTGTTCCTAAGGAAGGCAATCTATAAATTATAAATGTAATCCAAGGGAAAAAGAATAGTGGACACAAATCATTCTCAAATACTGATAAAGAAATTTAAAGAAAAATAAAGTGTGTTGGGCACAGGGAGGTGTTGACATGGAAAGGAACAGAAAAGATATGAATTAAGGAAAATGTATTTGCCAGAGGAAACATTGGGTTCAGTTAACTTTTTAAAAAAATGAGATGTAAGAGTATGACAGTAAACAAAAAAATTAAGAGCCAAAATGCATATCACTAATGGGAAAATCTCTAAGCCTCTTATAGTTTTTTATTAGATTAAACATTTCATATACAGTAGTTAATCTAGAAAAATACATTTAAAAAATTTTCAACAGACCATGCTCCCTGTAACAAAACCTTCCAAACCCTGTTTTATTGTACAAATCAATCTACATTAGTAATGTAAAAGGAAATTCTCAATTTTAGCAACATCATTTTCCACCCAATATCTATCTAATATACATGTGGATTTCCACTATTCAAACTGGAGTTAGGACTCTGTAATTTTTTTCTAATGTTTTCTATACATATTAAATATTATGACCTAAAAGGTTCCTCTTGTAGTGCATTTATCACTTAGCAAGTATATTCAGCTTTTTTTCCAGTACCATTCATATTACAGTGATCTGCTTGTAAAGGTAATTAAAATCTAAAAGTGCACATTGTTAATTTTCTCAAATATCAGCCTATTTCTGGAGGAAACCTAATATTCATGGAAAATATTACCAATATCATGATTAGAAATGTAGAGTTAGACTGTGCTCTGAAACTATACAACACAATTATATACATAAGCTAAAGGACATTAAGTCTTTAGCTATTTACATCAAATAATGTCCATTTCCACAGGGTGATACCAAGAACTCAATATGGCACTAGATATAATTAGGATTGTTAGTTACAATTCAGTATACCAAGACAGTTCTCAAATACCCTGAACTGACTTATCTAAGTAAAACTCCAGTAAATCACAGTGTTTTAGGTAATATTAGTGTGCTGCCCAAACAAGCAACTAAGATATCCCAGTAAGGATGCTGTGCAATACAAGACAGACAGCAAGCCTTCATCCAATGGGATTATGTCTGGATTATAATGAATTTTAGCACTTAAGACTGCCACTGCATGCAGAAACCCTGAAAAGAAATACACAGGTTTCAGAATTAATATACTTCATTTTGTTTTAAATGCCCAAGTATGTTTCAAAGTAACTGATATTAAGTACTCTTCTACCAAGTGAAGAACTTACAGATCAAGAGAAGAAATTCTACATTATCCAGTTTGAGGGGGGAAAAATGTAGCTTTTCTTACCAAATGATCCAGTGTGTATGACAGGTTAGAAATCTGAGCTTTAATTTGTACTGAAATTCAGAATATTAAATGCACACATTCAGATAAAATGGATCCAAAACTACACAATCATATCACCTTGAAACAAAGCAGCAAATATGAGGGCCTAGCAGACATCTTAATTCTCCCCTTCCTGTATGATCCCTCAAATTAAAAAAAAGTGCAAAATCAAAGAGTCACTGCTTGGTCCAAAACAAAATACATCGTACATAAAAATTTGAAATCTGATGGAATACAGCTTCTCTTCCACAGGTTGTCTTCCATAAGAATCAACGTCCAAAGATGGCACTTAATTCCAGCAGAATTAGTTCTACAATTTGATTTTGGTACACAGTATGAACCGCTATATTGCCAGTCTCTTTTTCTGGCTTTAAGAGAGTGGGACCAAAAACAATTGCTATACTCTGGTAAGTCATTCGATTTTTCTCTCCATTTTCTACAACTCTAAAGAGAAAAAACAAGAGAAAATAAAAAATACAGAGAAAAAATTCAACTTGTATTATAAACATTAAGCCTGCATTTAGAAAACAAAAATAATCACTGTGCTAGGTTGCACCAAACTTTTTAAACACGTAGAATTCTGCCTGCATGCTACATTGAAGTCGGCTTTGTATAAACACAGCTGAGAGGCCTAGATATATATAGATACCCTTTAACAAACTTTAAACACATGACATTTCAGCTTAATTTTAAAGACTGGACACAGACACAGTCTTGAATATGTTACAATTCCAGTTAACGAGGAAAACATTTTTATTAAATATTAAAATTAAGTATATGTTAATTTTCTAATTGGTGTCATTTTAGTATTCTACTATTCTTAGAATAAGATGAACAAAAATCAGTTACTTAAGTAGCCATGATAACCTAGAGCTATGATGGCTTTTTTTTTAGGGTAATAATATTCTCTAATTAATAATTTCATCTTCATACTAATTAAGTGATAATTTTTGCGTACCTATCATGTGCTTGCTAATCACTATATAAATATTTTGCATTTAATACCTGCTTTAATACCAACCCACTTTATCTATAAGAAACCAAAGCTACAGGAAGTTGAACATCTTTTTTTAAGTTACAAAGACATCAAGTGGCCCAACTGTGAACCAAATCTGCATGTGGGTGGCGCTTGTGGGCCTCCCCGTATGTTACATCACATCATAGCTCCTAAGCCTGCAGTTCTCTTACCTTTTGAGGTGTCTAAAAAGAATCTGCATTGTGTCTTGATTTGGCTTTGGCAACTGTCTGATTAAGTCCTTAACAGCAGCAACACGTTGTCTTGGTTCTTGTTCTGAAAAAAAGATTTCAACTTGCAGCAAATGCTTATGAAACTGAAAGCAATGACATGGTTTAGAAGTTGAGATTTCATAATATACAGTGACATCTTGTGGTCACATTTAGAATTTCTGGAGTAAAACAACCCACTGAAAAACAAGCAATTTTATAGAGAAACATTATACTTACTAATTGCATTAACAAAATCATTAAAATGATTAAATGTAAAGAGGGGTTCTGGTAGTTCTCGAAAAAACATTTTGAGTGCTCCAGTGATAACATGAATGTCTTCCCACTTGCTATCATTCAGATCCAATTTCTCATCTGAAAATAAGTAGGAACAGGATATTTCAAGTTACTTTAAACCAATTCTAAAGATTACAAGTAACACATTGGATATCACAAGAGAGTATACTCTTACCATGATTGACTGCAAATCTCAGCTTCTGGATCACTGCAAGATTGCCACTTACTCTATAGATCCCATCAACATCCAGACCTAAGAGATAACAACATTGTACATTTAAAAGTATTTGTTGAGCCTGACACTCATGGTTCACACCTGTAATCCTAGCTACTCAGGAGGCTGAGATCTGAGAATCAGGATTCAAAGACAGGAAGGGCAGGGAAGACTATGAGACTCCTCTAGTTTTATTTTTTTGTTGTTGTTTTGTTTTGTTGGGTGGGTCATGGGGCTTGTACTCTGGGCCTGGGCACTGTCACAAAGCTCTTCAGTTCAAGGCTAGCCCTCTACCACTTGAGCCACTGTGCCACTTCCCACTATGAGACTCTTATCTCCAATAAACTATTCAGAAAAGGCTGGAAGTGGCACTCTGATTCAAGTGGTAGAATGCTAGCCTTGAGCAAAAGAAGCTCAGCACCTAGGCTCTGAGTTCATACCCCAGGGCTAGGGAAAAAACAAACAAAAACACTTTGGCTTTTTTTTTTTAAGGTGTTTCCCCTCCCCTACCCATTATCCTTTTCTAGAAATATCTGTCTATGTTGAAGGCAGGAGCTCAAGCAAACCTCTTGTTTCAGAAGTCACTCAAATCACTGGGACTAGAGGCACTCACTGTCACACCTGGCTACAGAATTCTTACTCATTAGCCTTAGCCTAAAATCAAATGGCTTTTTATGGCTAAGACTCTTAGCAGGAAGAGATGGATGACAAGTCACTCTCAATTCTGCTTAATAAGCAGCAATAACTCCATTTTGTTTATCACACTGACTGTGGGTTGCTGTGGGTTAGCTCAAGGAAAACATCTCATGAAACATAAAATACTAACAATTTAAAGGTAAACCTCTGCAAATACCTGGGGATAACTTTAAAAAGCAAAAGCAGCAATATAAATCAACTGATCCATAATTTTGCATAGCATTTTACAATGTAAAATCACATCTGAAGAACTTTCCTCTAAAGTGTCATAGTAAATGTTTATGATAAATTAATCTTATAAAACTATAGTGCTGGGGTAAGTATACAATGCCTTTAATTTAACAAAGCACAGTATCTCTAACTGCTATTCATTTAGCTTCTTACGAATAAAGATAAACAGTATGGTGTCTTTACTGTCATACTGACAAAAAAAAAGTTAATGGAAAAAAGTAAATAAAAAGAATCTAAAACTGGCAAAAATTACAATAAATTAAAAGTATTATCTCATTTTTACAAAATATTTCTAATTAGATAGGTACAAGTTAATGTTATTGTACTGTTAATTCATACACACTAGCATAAATACTATAAATTTTAAAGTTCAACAAAATAGAAATTAATGTCTCATTTTCAGGAAACAACACAAGAAAGATTTCTCTATTTAGAAATGTTAGTTGATTTAACAACTTTAAAATATCATCTCAATTTTATTACAGAACATTCTCTTAGTAAGAAAATGTAATCTCCTCACAATTGCTGCTGTTTGTATTTTAAGCAACAGGCAACTCCAAGTGGCTTCCAGAAATTCCATACACTTAACTACACATATGTTTTGTTGTTTTTTTTAATAAACAAGATACTTTAAAAAGAAAATCTTAGAATCACAATGAACTTTTGATTGCCTCCCTTAAAATCTCAAAAACCCTACATATTTTGATGGCAAAATAAAGAGTTTGGGTTTGGCTTGCTAGAAAAATAAAAAATAAAAAACTGTTGGAAATGGCGCAGTGGCTCAAGTGGTAGAGTGCTCGCCTTGGGCTGACAAGCTCAGGGACAGCACCCAGGCCTACAGTTCAAGCCCCATGACCAACAACCCCCCCCCCCCCCAAAAAAAAAAAAAAAAAAAAAGCCCAAAAAACTGTCTTACCATGTTCTTCAACGTGTTCAATGCATAACTTCACAAATTTTGGCACTGTGACATTCTCTCTCTGACACAGATTAGCAAGATTAGATCCAAATACCTGATCTGAAAGAGAGTTTGTTTTAAATGATGAACCACTTGCTTAAAATGTAATTCATTTGACTAAATGAGCTAAATGGCTAAGTGCACTAGAACATGTGCAGTGGTATCTCACACTGTTTCCCATGACCTATGTCTTATTTGGTCAGCACAGCACCCTACTTGTCTAATTTCACTTCAAATAATGCTTCTTACTAAACTCCATGAACACAACTCACTCATGCTGGAGAGTCTTTGTATGTCCTCTGCAGAGAACGATTTCCTCTTTACTCCTGGTTCTCAGCTAAAATGTCACCTCTTTATCAGTAACTATGTTTATCTAAAACAATTCAATTCTAGTCACTTCTGTTTTATTACTACCTTAGATTCACAGTACTTGCCACTGCTTCCATCTTGTCTGACGTCCCACTTTAGTACCAGTTCCATGAGAGAAGGACCTTGCAGTTCTTGAAGGCAAATGGGTATTGATGGGCTCCTATGCTCATGTCTAGCTCTTAAAAATCCAAACATTTTGAACACTATGAAAACAAACACTCCCACCATGTGCTGACACTTAATTCCAAGAAATATACTTCAAAAACTGCTCCACTAATCCTTTCCCAACAGTTTAGAAATTATACATCAATGCTAATTACTCAGGAAAACAAGCAAAATTATTTGAAGTGATGAATAACCTCATAAAGTGAGTGTGTGTGTGTGTGTGTGTGTGTGTGTGTGTGTGTGTGCGCGCGCGCGCATGTGCTGGTTATAGGGCTTGAACTAATAAGGGTCTGGGTGCTGTCCTTGACCTCTCTCTCAAGGCTAGTGCTCTACCATTTTGAGCCACAGTGGTAGTTAAGACTCTCACTGACTTTTCTGCCTGGACTGGCTTTGAACCTTGACCCAGCCTTCTGAGTAGCTTGATTACAAGCATGAGCCACTGGTACCTGGCAACAATGGCTTATTTTTTCTCAGTGAAAGTGATAAATTAATAACAATGTCTACTAACTTATTGTCAGTCTTTTGTTTTTTAAAGGCTCTAAGTGGGGCTGGGAAGGTGGCTCGGTGGTAGAGCGCTTGCGTTGCATTCATGAGGCCCTGGGTTCCATTGCTCAGCACCACATAAGCAGAAAAAAAAAAATCCAGAAGTGGTGCTGTGGCTCAAGTGGTAGAGTGCTAGCCTTGAGCTGAAGAGCTGAGGGACAGCACCCAGGCCCAGAGTTCAGGCCCACAAACAGACCCCCCCCCCCCAAAAAAAAAAGGCTCTAAGCTAGATATACCACTTCATGTGCTTTATTCAAGAAGACTTGTTGATATGTAATTTTTAAGGATGATAATCAGCAGTCCTTAAATGTCTTTTGAATGAGAATCATTTTTGTATTTTAATTTAGATGTTTTTGCAAGCAGATGTTCTGGTGATAGCTTTTGGTAGAAACCTCATGATCAGATGCAAATAGTGCATCTTATAATATTATGTTTATAGTCCATCTTATAATATTTTTATCATTATTTCTGGATATCACTATTTTGAACTTAAGAAGTTTTTATCTTGAGAATTAACACATTCACAAAAACTACAGGCATACGTAGGCATAAATGATTGTAAAGAATGCTTTCCTATTTAAAAAGATCTTGTTAGTGCACATGGTACTTATAAATGAAGCAAATACACAAAATAATGAAATTAATAAAGTAGTCAAGATTAGTTCACCTTTTCTTTTATTCTACATTGTTAATTTATTTTTTAATTATCTTTAAGGAGCTGTACAAAAGAGTTCATATTTAACAAAGTAGTTTATGAATATAATGCATCTTAATAAAATTTATACTTCGGATCTTTACATAACAAAACCAAAGCTCTTTATATCTTGTGATTCTCAGATACAGGGTTTCTAAAACTGTTTGGCATTTATTTCTGTATGACGTTTAAAGTGAAGTTTATATGTAAACTTAAAAAATGTTAATTATTCTAATATCTTATAATCACTGTACTTGAAAATTCTATGATTAAAAAATTGTAACATTTTTACAAACAAGAAATTTCCAAACAGGATATTTAGTAATTTCAATTCAAAACATCTTATTTCTGGTTTTGCATAACATGCATTATAAAAATCACTTCACCTACCTACCTTTTATATAACCCTTTTCACGAACAGCTTGCAAAGTAGGGCGTCGGGTAAGAAACTTCTTTAAATTTTTCTTGGTTTTTTTCTGCTCTGAAGAATCTATGCTAGATACTTTCATGGCTTAAAAAAATAGATATTAGGCATTTCATAAAATTTTTTTCTGTTAAAAGTTTTTCCATAGAGAATTCAAAACATTTTAATTTCCTATGTCAAAATCACAGTACAAATTATTCTATCTTCAATGTAGTTTAAAGAAGATATGAGATAAAGAAAATGAAGAGACACAGCTTAAAGCAAAATTTTTATTTTTATCACTAAAAACTACTGCTGTGCCTTCACTGTTGATATCATGATGTCCTTATGTAATCAGATTTTAATATTATTTCATAAGTGATTCTACTAATCTTTTTGAATCTCCATCATTTTAGAAAGTAAAATGACTACAAAAAATCCATGAGAAGCCAAGCGTGGTGGCTCACACCTGTAATCCTAGCTACTCAGGAGGCTGAGATCTGAGGATCACAGTTCAAAGCCAGCCCGGGCAGGAAAGGCAGTGAAACTTTTATCCCCAATAAACCACCAGAAAACCAGAAGTGGCACTATGGCTCAAGTAGTTAGAGCACTAGCCTTGAGCTGAGGAGCTGAAGAACAGCGCTCACACCCAGAGTTCAAGCCCTATGACCGACAAAACAAAAAACAAAACAAAATAAAAAAACACCAAAAAAAAGGGAAAATTCATAAAAACAAAAATCCCTATCTATTCAAGTCTCATTAATAAACACACTCATATTTGAAGCTAACTCTCACAGTAAGTATCTGTACTCTGTAAGAATGGGACTACCTGCAAAATGTTTTGTATTGTCTTCTTTGCTACTGACTTACGAGCACTACAATAACAGAAAAATACTAAGTTGTATTTCCTACAAATAATTGTGTTTGGGGAAACCTAAGAACCAAGAATATATTAGGCAAAGAATAAAAATAATTTTTCTACTGACACTACTGCATGGTAACAATGTCAATAAAAGCCTTAACCTTCATTTAGAATAAGAGAAAAACCTCTTTTCTATCATTCAGTCTAAAGACCAGAAACTATGAAACATATGAATTATAATTCAAATAGATTGAAAAGTACAGAATCACAGCAAATGGCCTATTTCAATAATACACTTAATAGTTTATATTAGAAAATACTCTTCTTAAAACTTGTGGCTTTAGCTCTGTCCCTTTCACTAAATGGTAACAAAGAACAATATCTAATTGCTGTTACTTACTCTTATTTGTAACAAGCTAAAGGTATCTGTGCACATGGACAGATGTCATAGTGTAGACACAGCTGCCTGGTGGCCAGAATGTAATATATTCCATGACTTTGGACTTCTTGAGAGTTTATGTAAAATCTTTAAATGGTCAATATATACCTACAAATGATTCCATATGTACAATTTTCCCTTCAAGTTTAACAACACCTGAACAGTATTCATATGAATTATGATGACAAAAATGTTATCATATAATATAAACTATGAAGTTGAACAATGACAATAATGAGTTTGCAAGAAGAAAGACTACTGAAGTACTGAGCTGCAACTACTTAATATTGTAACTTTTTCAGATATTGGCTGTTGTATAAAGCTTATTTAAACACTATGAAAACTAAGATGCTCACTCAAACAATTAACAAAATACAGAAAATAACTACTTACAACGAAGTTTTTTAAGCTCCTTTTGATCTTTTTCTTTATCCTGCTTTTCTAATCCTGGTGAATCTGGTACCTCCTCTTCAACCACTTCATCAGTTTCTACTGCCTATTGGTGAGAAGTTTCCCAAATAACATTACTTCTAGTATGACTTAATTTGAAGTAGTATAATTCTCCAAATGACCAATAATTGACTTCTGATTGAATTTGGGGGAAAAAAATTAGTGTACAGTATGTTCAATTTAAAGATTTGAGAACTCTGGGGTGTGGCTTAAACAATACAGTGCCTGCTTAGGATGACCAAGGCCCTGAATTCAAACATCAGTACTGCAAAAAAGAAAAAAGATTTGATATATCTTTACTGTTTCTTCCTCTTGATGTAACTGAGAGAGAGAGAGAGAGACAGAGAGAGACAGACAGATAAAGACAGGCACTAGTAGTTCATACCTGTAATCCCAACTACTCAGGAGACTAAGATCTGAGGATCACAGTTCAAAGCCAGCTAGGGCAGGAAAGTACCTGAGAGTCTTATCTCCAATTAACCACCAGAAAACCGGAAGTGGCACTGTGGCTCAAGAAATAGAGTGCTGGCCTTGAGCTGAAGAGCTAAGGGACAGCGCCTAGGCCCCGAGTTCAAGCCCCACAACCGACAAGAAAAAATAAGTTTAAAAAGAGAGAGAGAGAGAGAGACAAAATACTGCTAGAAGCTCACAGGAAAGTAGTCGTATATTGTTGGCAATACTATCCTGCCCCATTTGATCTAGTGTATGTTTAAGTGGCACTAGCAGCAGTTAGAAAGCCAGGCTACACTATCAGATACCATCACCTACATTCTGTGACAAGACAGGAGGACTTATACCCATGAATATGACAATCACACTATCTATGATGACAGTATTTGCTGTGGTAAAAGTGAAAGACTTTTACTCACAGACTCCTGAAGATTAAGAAGTAAAAGCAATTTAGAACTCATTGATAACTGGTTACTACCAAGGTAACTTTTACAGGTTAAAACCCGGACCGAATTCTTGAAACTAAATACTCTGTATTCCATCCTAAGGTCTTTACTCCATTTGTATCTAAATAAATTTTTGTGTAAGGGCTAGCTCCTGTTTCTTCTTAGAGATCCCACTAACGCTACTTACAGAAAAGCTCATGCTTCCTCACGGTTCTACAGTGTTCTAATTGGCATAAACAGTCTACAGGCATGGCAGTCTGTTTCTAGGTTCCTTATTCTATTCCACAGGTTTGAATGTCTATCCCTACATGGTAACACACTATATTAATTAATATAGCTTTAAAATGTTGTAATGTATGATACAGAAGTCCTTTTACTTTCTCACTTAAAAGTGTCTTGGACATTGTTTATCCCTTTGTATTTCTGTATAATTTTGAAGTAAGTTTATCATGTTCTAACAGAAAAATTACTTAAGATTTTGAATGAGGCTCAAAAATCTTGTAAATTTGTAAAGTAATTTATATTCATACATGATTCAATCTTTTAGTCCATGAACACAATATAGTTCTCATTTAATTAGGCTTTTCTTTAATGTCTCTCAAGAAAAGTTTTGCAGTTTTCCTTGTACTTTTTCTTTAAGAGATTGTGCACATTTTGTAATCCTATCTTTTGACACTTCGTAAATAGTATTTTTAAAAGTTATAGTAAATAATTGTTCTCTCTTCCCTCTGCTTATTTCCTGATCCTACAGGCCTCAATTTAAAACAGTACTTTTCCTGCAATACATCTCTGACCAACCACTAGGTTGATGCTTAAAAATCAGTCTTTTCATAATATCAATTTAACACTCAACACATTTTATTTACTGTTTCATTATCTGTATTTGGCAATTTTACCTTTCACTGTAACCTATACACAGAAAGGTGCTGTACTTGACTGCATGTTGCCATCTGGCCAGTGAACAAGGCACTCACATCAAACTTACTGTATAATATGCTTTCAAGGTAAAGTGAATGGATTACTGCAATTACAGCTGAAAACCTACAGTGGATAGAGTACAAAGTACATCTGAATAGTCAGATTTGGCTTAGATTAATTTTAATGAGTGCCACAAAAGGTTTCGACATTAGGAAGTTTCATATAAACAATGGCATTTAGGGCTGAGGATGTAGCTCTGGAGCAGAGTGCTTGTCTGGCATGTGGAAGATTCTGAGTTCAATCCACTGCATCATTAAAAAAAAAAAAAACATTAAAAATAAAAATAGCTGGGCACTAGTGATTCATGCCTTTAATCCTAGCTACTCAGGAGGCTGAGATCTGAGGATTATGGTTTGAAGCAAGGCCTGGCAGGAAAAGTGCCCGCTCATGAGAGCTTCTTATCTCCAATTAATCACAGAAAAAGCCACAAGTAGAGCTGTGGCTCAAGTGGCAGAGCATTGGCCTTGAACAAAAAAGCCAAGAGACAGCGCCCAAGCCCCAAGTTCACACTCCATGACAGATACAATCAATCAATTAATCAGTCAAAAAGCCATTATTAAAGAAGTCAAACTGTTAAAGATCATTCTTATTGTGGTATGAATATATGCCTGCCCACAGTTTGGGAATAAATGAAAAGGGATAAAATTCATAAATACCATATAATGCTAGAAGCTACAAAATAAGTATTTATATGCAGCTTCAGGACTTATTTGCTAGAAGAGATATAACTTTCATATCATTTTTCATTTCTGTCACTGATAAATGCTAGTCATGTGAAGGCATGTCCCCATATGGCAAATGGTTAAGAATAAAAGTGCGTAAGCTGGGCTGCCTATTAATACTTTTACAAGCACGGTTGCAGAATACAAATGTGAAGGTATTTCTGGTTGTTAAGTAAGAAATTGATCCAGTAACATGAGGGTACTGAATACTTTCAGAAGGGACGGGGTAGAAAAACTATAGACAGATGTCACTAGAAAGGGGTACTAATGAAGAGAGAATAGCTACATCCATATTACTGTTTTGTCTGGGACTTCATTCCACTATGAACTGCCATTTCATTCACTCAGCCAGATAATAAGTATATGCACTACTTGTTCCATCTCCTTGAACCATTTCTTTTCTGAGGAATACCTAGTAGAAATACTGTTTCAAACTCAGTGACTCAGTAAACATTATACAGGTGTAAACATAAATCATCTATGTCAACAGTCACTGCAGTGATGGAGTGATCACTGTCATTCTCATTTCTATAGAGTAATATATTCTGTATCTGTCTATATATGAAACAGATTTTTCATACATCAACTGGAGCCTGGATATGAAATAAGCAATTATAAAATTAAAACAGCTCTGAAATAAAAGTTTTAACGAAGCCAAACACTTACCTGATTACTGATAGTACTAGTAAGAACTTTAAACCAGTCATTAATAATAGCATCATTATCAGATTGAATTAGCAATTCTGTTCCTTGACGAGTCTTCAACTTTAGGAAAAAGGAAAAGGGCGAGGAAAGAGTATAGTCAGTGCTTTCAACCAAAATTCAACGTTTACCAAACAACCAATTAAGTATTGTGTATTAATAGCAATGAAAGATACTAGACAGCTATGGAATATCTTTTTTATAGTGTAAAATAGTATCACAATAGTTTATAAAATATGAAGTTGTTTTCATAATAAAATCTCAATTAAACTAATTGTTCAGGATCTCAATGCCAACAGAGAAATACAATAAAAAATGAAGAAATTGTAGTTTATCACTTAAATGTATGTCAAATATCAAAGTTGTGACCTGGAATTGAAATAAAATACATTCACAAAGAAATAAACATCTAAGACATGTTTACGTAGCTTGAAAACTTTATCTATGTGGCTATGAAAACAGAAAAAAAAGATAGATTTTCAATATTTCCCACTTACTAGGCAAATGTAATAGCTGAGTATAAGGACAGGATACAATCAATAAATATTGTATCTTTTGGGCAGAAATTTTCCTAAATTAAGTCTCAAACGATGAAATGAAATAAGGATACAGTATTTTATTTTACAAAAAGTATAAAAATTAACTGATGTTTCATCTCTTTCAAGTTTCTTACACTTGAGTAAGCATAAATGTTAAGACAGTTATAAAAAATAATCCTCACATTTTCTCTCTAAGGGAGTTTGCTTTTCATGGAAGAACATGTGGCACTGTGTACCAAACAGCAGTCTCAGAAGCCATTTCTTCAAACATACTTTCACAACGAAAAAATACCAAGAAAGAAATTATTTGTATTTCTTGGAATACCAAGAAAGGTACTGTGCTAAAAACAAATGAACTTTAAAAACTTACTTATTATGAACTTGGAAAATACTTGATTAGAAAGCTTAGGAAGATTTTAAGACCTCAAACTGTAATTTTTTTGAGATAGAGATTAAGTATACATGTATTTGCTGAATTTATTTGAACATAGAGCCCTTACAATCAGCAATCTACTAATGAAGTTGCAGAGTTACTTCATAAAACAGTGCTTATCCTTTATGCATCCTTCTAGAGAGTTGGTCAAGCCAGTCACCCACCCTACAATTGTACTCTGTTAGAGATTTTCAAATCTTGCTACTGTGGAGGGTTTTGAATAACAAAGGGTGAAGGTTGTTTAGTTTTTTAAGACTGGTTTTAGTTTGCCAGCAAAACTGAGAGGAAGGTAGGAGACATCCCTGTCTTCAAACATGCACAGCCTCCCCAATGTCAATACTTTCCATTTTTAATCTGTAGCATTAGATTTGGCAGGTAAAACAAGCCACGTCATTTTCATTGTCATGAGGAATGGCAGGATTTATGAAAGGCCTGAAAAATCAGTAACTTATGTAAACAAAGTTCCTATTTTATACCACTATTTCCTTCTTAAGTAATGATATAAAGTGACTTATCAAGATGCAAGAATATTCTCCTAAATAACTTTTAAAAAAAAGTCTTACCTCAAATACATTCTTTTTGCTAGATTTATCCTTAGATGCCATCTCAATTGTTGCCCCCTTTAGGTCCACTGTGAATTCTGGTTTGGACTGATTACTCCCAAACTTCATTTTAGAAAAAGGGAAAAATCTTTATGTGGTTTTCGTGCATATGTGCTTATTCACAAAGAATTAAATCTAATTTTATATCAGCAATAAATCAAATAAATTACCTTGTATTTACCTCTATTATAAAGTAACAATTCCTATTTTTAAATGGAAAAATACCTAGAAGTTAGTTTAGTTCACAGAAAGGAAAGGAAATGGCTCAACTTCTATCACAGTGTGTGTGTACATATGCATGTGTGTGTGCATCTAAAATATATCACAGTATATAGATCTATGAATGTGTGTGCACATAAATCACACTGAAATCTTTTTTTCACCATCAGAGTAGGAAAAAATACAGCACTATTTGGTAAGGGTATAATACACACTCAGATGCAAGTGGATATAAAGCTTAACTCCTATAGAGGAAAATTTGATAATGTTCTTATTTGCAAATTGACAAATACATGTATACCCTGGCTTCCCCACCAATTTACTCATGGCCAGAGAAAAATATGTATATATAGAGAGATAGATTGTAGCAAAGGGTATGCAAACAAGAACACATACAGTGACAGCTGAAACAGGATCAGACTTTATATATGCGACAGCAGGCCGATGACTGACAGAATTTTTCCAGGAAGAAAGCAGCGAAAGCAAGAATTCAGAGATTGAGCCGGGTTGGCAAAATGACTTGATGAGAAAAGGGAAGAAAATGATCATGTCAATGCTCAATGGCAAAATGGCACACAAGGGAAGAAAAATACAACAAAACTTGATAGACAAGAGTACAATTCAATGAGCAGACACAACACAAGCAAAGCTAAACTAGGCAATTTTGGAAAAGCCCTAGAACTTGTTTTGTTTTGGGTAGGGGGAAGGTGGTGGTATTCGAGTTTGAACTCAGGGCCCAGTTATTCCTTGGTTTTTTCACTCAATGGTGAGGGGTGCTTTTATCGTTTGAGCCACACTTCCAGCTTTCTAGTGGCTCAATGTAGGTTAACATCCATGTGTATTTTCTCATCTGGGTAGGCTTCAAATCTCAATCTTCAGATGGCCTCCTCAATAACTACCATTACAGTTGTCAGCCACTAATGCCCAGCTCAGAGCATATTGTCTCTGTTATTACATACATTCATGTTTTATCTTTAAGACGGATGCTTTACAGATTTAAATTGAAGTTTCATAGCTTATATTCACACACAGCTTATATTATACTTGAAGAGTAATAAGAAGGACTAATATCTGGGCTTCCACATGGTGACCTACTAGGCAATGTCCTCTGGTATCACTTTCCAAGTCATCTCTTTCAAGTGTTCTTACCATCTAGCTTGATTTTTCCCTTCTTCTAGGATACTGGTTCTTCCTCTAGAGCAGATGTGATTTTGTCCTCTGGGTACACATGGAAATGTCTGGAGACATTTTTAGTACTCACAATTAGAGGTGAAGGTGAGAGTCATCTATTAAGATGCTCTATAATGCATAGGATAACCCCTCACAAAAAAAGCATTATTTGGACTAAAAGAATAACTATATTTAGAAAGTTGAAGCATGTACAAATGAATGTTTTAATACTGATACTTATGGGGGAAAGGGGTGTTTTTTAGTACTCAAGAAATATGATAAACTGTAACTGAGAAGGAACACAACATATGTTGTGTTATATTATAACTGTTCACTTGCCAGTCTTCCTGACTCCAATGTAAACAATGAAGACCAAGACTGTGTTATTTACTTTTAAATCCCCAAGCTTAACACAATGCCAAGAGCACTGCAGGCTTTTATGCCCGTTGAACAAACAATAGATATTTACAGACATTTCTGAAGTGAAATGAGGTCAAGGAGAGGGGGAGGAACAAACATGTATGTTCATGTTTCTGAATGAATAGTCTGGTAGATGACTAGCATTTTTCAGAAAACTATTCTAAAGGAGAAGGAAAGGCTCACTACAGCTTTGGCTGATAGAATATGTTCATAAAATTCACCTTACAAATGGAATTGCAAGTGGCATGTATGTATCTGATTTACTCAATTCTATCTATTCTCTGCAAAAAGGAAAAAGAAATACAAGGCATGGATAATTATTTAAAATAATTTTGAGCAGTATAGGTCATTTTCTTAGCATTCCATCAATAAGCATGTGCCCTGAGGTGAGGCTAAGATCTGAACCTGCTATTTCTTCAAGTGGATCACTTAGGTTTTTACACTAAGTATGGATATAATTTTTTTTTTGGTTGTAAGGCTTGAACTTGGTTTAAGTTGTAAGGCTTAAACTCTAGGTCTGGGCACTGGCCCTGTGCTCTTCAGCTCAAGGCTAACATTCTACCACTGAGCCACAGCTCCACTTCTGAGTTTTTGGTGATAAAATGGAGATCAGAATCTCATGGACTTCCCTTCCCTCCGCTGGCTTTGAACCTTGATCCTCAGATCTCAGCATACTGTGTAGCTAGGATTACAGGCATGAACCACCAGTTTTTTAAAGCTACACGTTCTTTTACAATAATGGCGCCTTAACAGAAATCATCAAACTCAAATTGAAGGGCACCAAAGGAATAAAAATGGCTCTTGAAACCAGCCTCAATGAAGTACTTTCCTAAGGGCTCCTGGACAGATGTGTTCACTATAGGTGATTTTTGTCTTTTGGAATTTTCTGCTAGCCTTTGAGATTCCTCCTCAGGTCAGATAGGGTTCACTGTAGAAACTGTACACATTTTACATACAATAGATATAGTTGGTAATGGAGTGGAAAAACAAAACTAAAATTCTTTCAAATCCTTTCCAATACCCCTAGTTCCAGGATTAAGAAACAGCTTCTATATTCTGTCAAATTTTGGTATTAATGAATGCAGTAGTAACTAAAATACATTATACAGACTTACATGCTTTTTAGTGAAATAATATTACTTGCTTTTACTTGGGTCATTTAACTTCATTTTCATTTCTTTAATATATGTGAATAGGTAAAGCAAGATAGTCTGAGGTCTTAAAATTTAAGAATTCACTGTAGAGCCATGCATTTCACCTTATTCTAAATCCATTCAGTCTTTAGAGAATTAAACTCAAGACTATGTTTTATTTAGTTATCTGCCTGAAATTATTACATTTTTGTAACAATATTAGTAAATTTCATTTGAAGGCAAAAAAATCAAATAATTAAATACCTAAATTTAATCTCCTAAGAATTATACAATTTCAAAATTGGCTACCTCAGTAGATTTTTAACCTGTGTTTCACTACTGACACATAGTAGCACAATAACACAACTTTAGACTGTAAATACAAAAACTCTGCACCGTTTGTCAGCATTAAAATGTTCTGAGCTCTGATTTATACAAGGGGTTCTACAGCGAAAACATCAAATAAAATGCTGTAAATGATTAAGTGCTGAAGTATTCTCTTGCCATCTTTAAATTTTTAAAGTTTTGGTTTTTTTCTTTAACCTGCCTCATTAAATAATGCTCATTAGATGATGACTATTTCTCAAACACACTGCTCTATCCCATCTGCCTTGGCCTACATACCAAACTTTCAACTTTTAGTATCAGTAATTCTGAAATAAATGACCATTATGCAGTTTGCTTCATATTTGTTATGCATAACTAATTAGACTTAACTTCATACAACTAATTAGCCTTCTTTCTCTTAGAATAAAAACAAATATTTGTGAAACCTTCATTTATTTTTACATATACACTTGATATAACAAGAACTTTGGGAATTACTTCCTGAAATTTAGGCACAATACTATCCACATAACTTAAGTGTATAAACTTCCTACAGAGGAGAAATACTTACCCAACTTGTACTACTTCCTTGAGTTTTGGTAAAAAGTAAAGATGAACCCTGTAACACTGCCCAAGAAGACAACCAGTTCTTTCTGTAATGATAAAAATATTCAATTAAAGCTCCCACTAGTCAATCAAATTAAAAAAAAAAAAAAAATCTCCCTAGTTGCTAATAATTATCTACAATTTAGTTGTTACTAATCCCAACTTTGGGAGGGATACAGGGGAGCTTTGCTTGCTCTGTTGCTGCTCTACCACTTGAGCCATGCCTCCAGCCTGACTTTTTCCTTGTTACTTTACAGAGAAAGGCTACTGGACTTTAAACCACAATCCTCCAGATATCAGCATCCTGAGAAGCTAGGATTACAAGTGTAAATTACTAGCACTTTGGTAATCCAAATGGGATTTTTATTTATTTTACTTTTTATACTTTGACAAACCTCAAATTCCTTTTTTTTGGTTGTTGTTGTTGTTGATTATGGGGCTTGAACTCAGGGCCTGGGCACTGCCCCTGACCTCTTTTGCTGAAGACTAGTGTTCCACTACTTTGAGACAAAGCTCCACTTCAGTTTTCTGGTTGTTAATTGAAGATTAAGAGTCTCACAGACTTTCATGCCTGGACTAGCTTTGAATCGCAATCCTCAGATCTCAGCCTCTTGAGTAGCTAGGATTACAGATGTGAACCATTAGTGTCAGGCTCAACAAGTACTTTTAGATACTTGAAACGTGGAAAAATAGAAGATTGGAAGTTCACTGAGTTTACTTATTGATCTACAAATTGGTGTAAAATTATGTACGAAAATTCAAGTTCAAAAAAGGTCAATGGCTTTTATAATTGAGTATGAAGAGTTCATTGAGTTTTAGTCTTCAGTTCTACTGTTAGGAAACTACTATGTAGAGTTAGAGTAACATAAAAACATGCAGTTATTTTCAAAGGCTATTAAAACAATCCTACCTTTTCCAATTTAAGATGTATATGGGGAAATTTTCATGTATTTTAACTAAAATTGTATGACACAACAGACTACAAGCTGGGAGAGGGAGAGGGAGAAGGAGAGGGAGGCAGGTTCAGAGGTGGGATGTTATGGTACATGCCTGTAACCCCAGAGCTGAGATAAGAGGAACCTTAATTTCCAGGCAAGCCTGGGTCACAAAACATAACAAACAAAATACCAAACAACAACATCCCCTCTCCACGAATAAAACACGGCCAAGGTCTATTCACAAGACACATGCCAAAAGCAGAAAATGAGAAAAATAAAGGCATGATTTATAAGTGAATCCTACCAAGAAACTGGTTTAGGAACACAGAATTGTAGAATCTGTAAAGCTGTTTTTTTAGAGCACTTAAAAAACTTTCAAATATCAATCTGACAAAGATAGTTCACTTAAAAAAAAAAACATGAAAAAATTCAAATACTTGCAAACTATTAACAGACCGATTCCACTTATGAAAAAAAAAATCACAAATGTTAGCTGCTTTTTAAAACCTGGGAGAAATACAATTTACCTTAATTTCCTTAATTCATTTGGAGGCGTGAAATATCAACCCAAAATGCCAACACTCAACAGAAACAGTATAAAGAGATAATTCAACAAAAAACTGAAATGACTTATAATTTTCCACTAAAAAAGAATACAAATAAACATATCATTTGCTTTTGAATCTCCATTGGAAAGGACTAAAATATGTGGGAAATGCACTGCTATTGTAGGCAAGAAATGATTCAATTTCCAGAGTACTATGATATGGTAACCTAGGATGTGACCTAGCAATGCCAACTTTGTAAAATCTATCCTACAAGCATCTTTACATACAAGAACCATACAAAATGTTTAACTGCTGAGAATAGGAAACATTGTAAAATTGTAAAATTGCTAAATATCTGCCAATAGCCAGACATAGTTACATACTTGCAAATGAATAATGGCTAAAGTAACTGACACAGTGACACAACATGTAAGTATGCTGTAGCAGCTCTACATGCAATGAAATGGAACCATCTCCAAGACAAACTGTAAAAGGACTTTTAAGCCAGGTGCTGGTGGCTCAAACTGAAATCTGAGGATGGCAGTTCCAAGCCAGCCAAGGCAGGAAAAGTCCATTAACTCTTATCTCCAATAACCCATTAGAAAACCAAAGTGGAGAGCTTGACTCAAATGGTAGAGTGCCAGCCTTGAGCTGAAGAGCTCAGGGACAGCGCCCAGACCCAGATTTCAAGTCCCACAACCAACAAAAAAATAAAAATAAAAATAAAATAAGTCAGGCATGCCTATAATCCCAGCTACTAGAGAATGATTCAGAGGATGAACGTTCAAGGACAACCTAGGCAAAAAGTTAATGAGACCATGTTATCAAACAAACGGGGCATGGTGGTTCATATCTGTAACTCCAGCTCCACAGAAGGCAGGAAGATTTTGTTGGTCTAAGGTTGGCTCCAGAAAAATGTAGAGACCCTATCTAAAAAATAACTGAAGCAAAAAGGACTAATGGTGTGGCTCAAGTGGCTGAGCCTTTGTCTAGTAAGCACAAGGCTCTGAGAGTTCAAACCCTAGTACCACCAAGAACTAAACGACTTGCTAAGCACTGGTGGCTTAAGCCTGTAATCCTAGGTACTCGGGAGGATGAGATCTGAGGCTCTCAGTTCAAAGCCAGACTAATTAACCAGCAAAAAGCCATAAGTGGAGTTGTGGCTCTATCCTTAATAGGAAAAGCCAAGTGAGTGAGCAAGGTCCTAAGTTCAAGCCCCATACTAAACAAACAAATAGACAAACACAAATTCAATCTAGTATAAGCAAACATTTGCACATACACACACACAATCTCTGAAGGAAAGCACTAAAATTGAAGAGACTCAATGCTGACTTCCACTAGAAAGGGGAAATGGTAAATTTATTTTTCACATACAGCTCAGTATGCTTTTCGCTTTTTAAACCATTGCTTGCTGAAAATAACCAGTAATATTACAAGAAATTGCTTCTTCAGGATCCTCTTATTATCTCTGAATTTAATATAACTTAAGACATATTTTACCACAATCTCACATTATATTAGACTAGAAAATATACAATTATAACTTCTAATTCTTTTAACTGCTTCTATTAAAATACAATTATAAATTTCCATTTACTTCAATCAGATGAGTCCATGTAAGAATATTAAAGATTTATGTACTTACCGAACCTTTTTCCCATTTTCAGTAATTTTTGTTACATTTAGCAACCCGTACTTTTCTTGACCCTAGAAAACAGAGTAATACTGTTCATCTATCATTTGTATAGACAATGATGGCCAAGTTTTAAGACACAATCAAATCAAATTGATCTGGTAACCTAAAATGTAGTTTAAAAGACTGTCTTCAAAAATGGACATGAGGGAGAGCGAGGTAGGGAAGAAGTGAAATTGTCCAAAAAGAAATGTACTAATTATCTGACTTAATGTAACTGTTAACTGCTCTGTAAATCACTTTTATAATAACAATAAAAAAAGAAATTGACATGAACATTATGTGGAAGAAGACTAGGGGGAGGTGGGATGAGATAGATATAGGAAGGGAGGGAATATGTTTGAAGCACCTGTACCCTGTGTAGAAAAGTCACAAAGAGAATCTCAAAACAGGTTTCTAGAGAGAAATGTAAAAAGGGGAGGATAAGAAAGAATAACTGATTGTACCCAAGGTATATTAAGTGCATGCATGAAATACCACCCAGAACTTCCCTTACATTATACAATTAATATACACTAATTAAAAATGTGAAGCAAGTAAAACTGAGCAATTATAACAATAGAAAGATTAGTATGTAACATACTTATTTTTAGTGGACACTAATAATTTTCCTAATACTCTTTTACAATATTTTCAGTAATTTTATAACACTTCTCCTTAAGATACTTTACTACCAATGAATCAGCTCTAGAAAAATGACTTGTGTCTTCTTCTTCAAAAGGTGACAAAATGCTATAATGATAACTAGCACAAAAGAGCAAAGGAAAATTTGAAAAACGTAATAACCTATTTGTAAGAATGCAAAAATAACTATGTAAAACAAGGACAGTGACTAATAAATTACTCAAAAGTAACTGGTACTCTCCATAAAACTGGCTAATGTGGCATGGAAGTCTCAAAGGGCTTTATTTAAACATCTTACATCGTGAGCCAGGCTCTGGACAAACTAGACCTATTAGACAGCTAATATCATTAATAGTGACACAAGCTTTCTCCTCAAACCCTGTGAAGGCAAAAGCCCACTATACTAGTTAATACTATCTCAAAATTCTTCCAAGTAGAAGTAAAAAACACTGGTTTTAGTTTCCTGTATTCAAATAAACTTAAAATGAGTTGGTACCTAATTATTAACATTAGTAAACACTGTAACACACATGGACTTTAACTCAATTGAAACACAGACATAGAACACACACACAAAAGAAAAAAAAAATCTCCATTCAGAATCTGTGACTATTTTCTCTATGTACTTTAATCAGGAAGTATCTCTTTTTTTTTTCTATGTGATATAAACATAATACTAAGTACTTCTTTAAAAGTTTGCTTTGTCTGAAAAACTCCTTGTCTATGGTGAAATCTAACAAGTTATTAGTTTACTCAGATTCTTGGAATACTAAGAACTTGGAAATAACTCATTTGAAGTTTTATAGTAATTGTTTCACAAAATCATAGTTTTTAAGATCTCCTCAGATAAATATTTTATACTTTTCATAAGAGCAGTTACCTCTCATAAAACAGCATCAACAGTATTCTGAACTGTCACTTGCCATCAAAAAAGAAGTAATCTTTCAATGATATGAGAGCTAAGTGACAATATTAATCTGAATGGTAGGCACTAATTATGTGAACTAGAATTAAAAAGGTTGACAGGTGAGAATTAAGGATATTTAAAAATGGAACTGCCAGGATAGTGTAAGAGAAGCAGAGGCCAGAAAGAAATACAGATACTGTAATAAGAAGAAAAATGGATGGAACAGCAGGCATGACAGTGTAAGCCTAAGGATAAGACAAACTGCCTAACACAGGAATTCTTACTTGAGTCAATGAATAAACCAAACCAGATACAAAACGAAGCATCACCAGACTTTCACAAAGATCAAAATCTAAGTACTAATTATCTAAATATTATGCACTCTTAAGTTGGACATAAAACATGAAATATATGTCACATTATTTTGTGAAACAATTACAGTAAAATTTCTCAAGTTATTTCCAATTTCTTTGTATTCCAAAAATGTGAGTAAACTAACCTTAAATTTCCCTCAAAGTATGGATGTGGTGAGAAGTGGCCAAAAAAAAAAAAAGAGACACTGAAAAAAAATGTATTAAGCAATTGAATATGCCGAAGTTCCTATCTGAGTATTTGTTAGTCCATGAGAGGGATCTCAGAGACAAAGGATTAAGAGATAGGGTCCTGGGGCTGGGAAGGTGGCTCAGTGGTAGAGTGCTTGTCTTGAATGCAAGCGGCCCTGAGTTCAATTCCTCAGCATCTGTGGCTCAAGCGATAGAGCACTTGCCCTCAGTTGAAGAGCTGAGGGACAGTGCCCAGGCCCAGAGTTCAGGCCCCAGGACGGACGGAGGGACGGACACAAATTACACTGGCCTTCATTTTGCTATGTATCCCAGGCTAGTTTTGATTTCATGTATCAACCTCCAAAGTGTGCTAAGAATGTGTCTATAGGAATATGTTACCATATCTGGCAATAAGATTCTTCTAACTAAGCTAGCTTGTGTAATACAATGCTGGGGGGGTGGGGGAGGAACAGTGCTGGGAAACTGATAAGTCCACAGGGTCGGAGGCAGGTTAGTGGCTACTGAGGGGAGGAGGAGAAAAAGGGAAATGCCTACTGGGTATGGGTTTCCTTTTGAAGTAATGAAAATGTCCTATAACCAGACAGAGGTGATAGCTACACTCAGTACAAAGTACAAATACCTCTGAATTGCATGCTTAAAATGGAAAATAGTTTTATTTTACATTTTTTAACCTCAATAAAAAATTCTAAAATTTTTATCATTTTTATTAAAATTAGATATTTAAATCCTGTATTTACAATGGCTTTAAAACAAATAATAGTCAATTTTAAATAGTAAACTTGTCCACCTGTTAAAGAAATATTGAAATATCCTTTTCTATAAAAAAAAAAAAAATCAATGCATTGGGAATACAAGGCCAAAAACTCAAATTTCCAAATTATGTATCCTAATTTTTTTTTTTTTTGGGGGGGGAAGAGGGTCCGGTCATGGGGCCTGAACTCTTCAGCTCAAGGCTAACTCTCTACCACTTGAGTCACAGCACCACTTCCGGCTTTTTTCTTTTTGCTTATGTGGTGATGAGGAATTGAACCCAGGGCCTCATGCATGCAAGGCAAGCGTTCTACTACTGAGCCACCTTCCCAGGCCCTGTAGCCTAAATTTTTATTCAACAGTAATTGGAAACTTTAAAATGCATACTCTCATAAACATACTAGGAAAATACAGAATAGCCTCTGAAGTCATTCCATAAAAACCTCACAAATACATATTGTAACTGTCTTGTAGGGAAAAAAATATGCCTATTTTAAAAATATTTGAAGAAATCATGAAAATGTTTGAAAGTAAAAAAAAAAGCATATGTTTAAATGTTAAAAAATTTATACTAAGGACGGAATTTTAAACTTTGATTAGAAGAGAGAGAGAGACATAGACAACTTGAAGAGATTTTAAGATAACACCAGGTGGTTAATATTCATTACAGTATTATTTTTAGATCTAAAATTGAAACTTCCTTCTTCTTATTACCAAGACCTTATCAAGCCCAAATTTTAATTTACAAAGAAAGGAGGGGTGGTAATTAGGTAAGAATGAAAGAAAGTTGAGGTGGAAGCAAGGCAAACAAAGTGGGAAGCAAGGCAAACAAAGAAGAGGGACCTTGAGGACAGAAGGAAGGAAATCTAAGGGGCAAAAGCCGTGATGGGGAAAGAAAGGCTGCATGGAAGAGGAGTATTTAGGAAGGGATAGGAAGGTACAGCCTCTGTTTATGTGGAAGCGACCCAGCTCTTCGTTTTTTTTCAGCTGAAGGTAAAAAATGATGGTAAGAAACATACACAAGTGAGGCAGTTCCTCTGGTGGCCATCAGAGGGTACCATGAATCCAGGATAGTCTAGCTGCTGTCAAACTTCAGAAAACAGGTGCAGGTGGAGAGAGAATTTACATAGTACAGTCCTTTGAAATTGAATGTATAAGATTTACAAATTCCTGTTCCTAGGAATTTGACCAAAACATACATAATTTATAAGAGCTTTCAATAGATAACATATTACCTAAACTGGTAATATGAAAAAGGGTTTTATGCTTTCTTTTTTGCATGGATTGACTGATTAAGAGTTTTGTAGTAACCATATCTTAGGTTTATGGTAAGATTTATACAACATCCTAAAATCATGTTCATTCTTATTTTTTTGTGGTTTTATAAACCTAATATTGTATTAGATAATACAGAAAATATAAAGTAGAAACATAGTTCCTATCTGTCTTCATTTGATAAAATGCCATTACAGATGATGTAATCTAGTGTGAAGATGTGTTATTCAATGCAAAATGTGACATGGTAGCTCAGAAATAGAGTTCACTATAATGGAAGCTAGTGTGGCAAGGCCTTCTAAGAGGTTAGTTCTGAAAGAGGTACAGGACTTAGTTGTACATATACAAAAGCCAAACCCATCCTACGCAGGGACAGTACCTTAGCCAACCTCAGAAGAAAATGTATAAAGAAATGATAAACATTTGAGGAGATAGACACACTAATTACACCTTGATCTAATCACATACATTGTATAACATCACACTGTATCCTGTATATTCAAACAATTACTGTCACAATTAAAAGTTTTCTTTTTTAAAAAAAGAAATCATGTGGTACATTGAGAACAATAACAAAGAAAAACCTCCTGCGTCCATGTCTTGGAATTCATTTTGCTTAGCATCATCTTATATGGTCATATGTACATAGCTATTGAGCTATTCTGCTCATCTGCTAAAAATTATCCTGGATGTATACTAATTATTACAAATAAGGGAGACCATGGGACCTATGTTTGAGTCTGGCTTACTTCACTTAATATGATTTTTTCCAAGTCCTTCCATTTTCTTACAAATGAGGCAGTGTCATTCTTTCTGATGGAAGCATAGAATTTCACTAGACAGACAGACAGGTAGGTAGATTGATCGATAGATAGCTAAGATAGATAGATCATATTTTCTTGATCCATTCACCTACTGAGGGGCATCTTGTATTTTTTAAAAAAAGGAAATGTGTATACCAAGTACATATTTTAAAGAAACCACACAAAAAAAAATCAGGAATGGAGACTCTGAAAAGTGAAGTTACTATGGAAATATTTGCCTCTAAGAAATCTAAAATCTGAGCAATAAATAATAGCCTTTTCATAATTTTATAAAATAAGAATGTAGTGCTAAAAAGTTTGTCTTTTAACAATCTTTAAACTTTCATTTATTCATTCAGCAAATACATGCTAAGTGGTTACTGTATGGTCTTGCAGCAGGTCTAAAGTTACTGTTTCTGTTCTTACAAAGTTTTTCTCATGGGAAGAGAAAGAGTAAAAGAGAATGAGTATTATAGGATATACGTATTTAAAAGTTATTACATTTTATAAATATAATTTAATGCTATGAAGACTACCACAGAAATACCTTACCCAATCCAGAGGATTAGAATAAAACTCTCTAATAAAGTAAAGCTTGCCCTGAGCCCTAATGAATGAGAAGTTGAATAAGCAAAGATGTGGGAGAGTACTATGTCAGTGGCAGATAAAAGGCTATTTGCAAAGATCTTGAGCTGAAAAGCAGGTTCTGCTGAAAGAAACATCATGTAGAAAGAAATAAGCAAGAAAGGCAGATGGGGATTGTGAAAGCCTGAGATGAGGCTGGGGAAAAAGTCAAGTGCAAGGGCAGGCAGGATCTTATCTAAAATTTTAGATTCTAGTCTAAAAGAAGAAAGTCAGTTCAGGCCACTGGCAGGGTCCATATGCCAGAAAGATAGGGAGTGACAGTAAATACACAGATCAACTAAAACTATGCCAAAGTTAAGACAGGTTACAGAAGAGTCACTTTGAGGGCTTTTCAGTTGAGGAAAAGTAACAGCTGAGATGGATCATCTCCAATAGATGGAACAACATACTGCATAGCACAGAATAAAGATGTCTATGCTTATTAGGAAGGAGGAGAATTCTTCTTACCTTTGGACTGCTGACCTGAGAAAGATTCATGAATACTTTGGTAGTATTCTCTGGGAATTTTTATATTTTTTTAAACAAAATATAAACTTGTCACTTAAAATGGTATATCTAAATTGATTGCTCTCAATACCATATTTTATATAAAGGAGCATTAAAATGAGTAAAATCTGTTATCTTAATTTTAGCTTTTAATTGTAATTTTTTTTAAAAAAATGAAATTTAACAGAAGCCAAGATAAACATTACATTGACAAAGCTAATTATCAAAATTGATTGAAGTTATTGGATTGTATTATACTGTATGTTTCTATCATACTAACTGGATCTTGGTGCTTTGGTGAGGAGGGAGAAGATTCATTTTCAGGAAAGCAGGGTTTTGAGGCAGTTGGACATTCCTACGAGAAATAAGTAATGAAAAAAGTTACTCTATTTTATAAAATTCTATTTCTATACTCACAGTGGAAAGTTTAATAAGGCCATCTAATAAAAACTTTCTTTGTTAATTTTCTTTGATTACTCAAGTCTAAAACTAATATGGTACTTACTTGAAAACTAGATGCCAAAAAATTTTATGAAATATGGCATATTTTATAACACTTAAAATATAAATAATACATACAGAATTATTAAAAAAATGAAGCATATTGCCTGAGAATTATGATGTTCTCTCAGTTTGAATTAACCATGCTTAAGTAAAATTTTTACCAGGTGTCAATGGCTCATGTCTAGCTAACTCAAGAGACTGAGAGCCAAAGGATTGTGGTTTAAAGCCAGCATAGACAGAACAGTCTGAAACATTCCTAAATAACCAGCAAAATACAAGACGGCAGGTGTGGTTCCAATAAGTGTTAGAATACCAACTGAGCAGGCAAGCAGAAAAACAGCAAGACCTTGAGTTCAACTCTCGTACTTTAAAAAAAAAAAAATTACCTTAAAAATTCAAACTCTTGCCAACTAATTTAAATATTCAAGGTTAGGCAATGAATAGTCACAGGAATTATTAACTACCAGAATGAAATGTTATTTAGTCAACAGCTATATAAGAAATTAGAACTGAATTGCTATTAATATTTCAAGAAATTTAGCTAGTTTTCCAATGATTGGATGTAAGTAAGACTGAAGATTGTAAAGAAGAAATGTAAGATCCAAAGGTTAGAGGAAAAAATGTTTTAAAGTCTAAGCCTACAAGAACATCGTAAGAGCTTACCAGGATGGCTTTAAAGCAGGTTATTGTCAAAATAAAAAAAAATAATAATTGTATGTCTACAACTATTTCCAAGACTACTCTTAGAGGACAAGACCAGAAAACATTTCTTGGTAGCAATAGTCTGATTCCATTTCAATTTTCTCTTGCTACTTTACTTCGAATAATTTCACAAAAAAAAATGAATCAGAAAAAAAATCATATGCCAAAGTTATTAATTTTCCAATCCAATAATACATTCAAATCATTTGTCTCATTGTTTGTAACATTCAGTTGTCTATGCTTATGAAACTGTGAAAGGTTTTGTTTTGTTTTGTTTTTGTCGGTCATGGGGATTGAACCTGGCCTGGGCGCTGTCCCTGCGCTCTTCAGCTCAAGGCAACCGCTCTAATGCTTGAGCCACTGCACCACTTCCAGTTTTCTAGTGGTTAATTGGAGATAAGAGTCTCACAGACTTTTCTGCCCGGGCTGGCTTTGGGTTGGCTTTGAACGTGATCCTCAGATCTCAACCTCCTCTGTAGCTAGGATTATAGGCGTGAGCCACCGGTGACCGACTTTTCTGTGAAAGTTTTTAACTCAACATTCACTCATTTGTAAAATGGTCTTCAGGTTTACATCCTATGAAGATTGTAAACACAGAAAGCAATGAAATTTTACAGGCATATTACCCTTGAAGGAACCCTCTTATTTTAAAAATCAAATACCAAAGGCACATGACTAATGGAGAAAATATTAAAATCATATCAAAATAATTTATATAAAAAAAGAATTAAACATATTGTCTAAATTTCAGTTTAGCCTTATTTTGTGTGTGTGTGTGAGGGGAGTCGGGGGAGGTGGGAGTTGGTGCCACTGGGTGCCAAGTTGGACTTTTTTGCTCAAAACTAGCACGCTACAACTTGAGCATCAGCTCCAATTGCTACTTTTTTGTTCCTTAGTGGTTAACTGGAAATAAAGTCTCACAAACTTTCCTGCCCAGTCTAGCTTCAAACCATGATCTTCAGATATCAGCCTCCTGAGTAGCTAAGATCACAGGTGTGAGCCATGGGTGCCTAGCTCATTTAGAATTTTTTTCTGACCACTCCTGATCAATTTTGTGACTTTTAGAAAACTAAATATTGTTAAAAGTATTAGAAAGAGGAAAGATTTGATGAGCCAACCTAGAAAATAACTGAATAAAATAAAAATTATGATTCATTTTTCATGGTATTCAGTCCTACAGAAACAAAAAAACACACATAAGGATTAATACTGTACATGCGACTATTAAAACTACTCTAAACAAGAAATAATTTTATACTTATACATATATGCACATTTATAAATGTATATGGATATATCTTGTATACCTACAAATAGATTAAAAACCATATGTAATCAGGAACAAAGATACTCACAGTCATACATACAACAATCTCTTTCCAGGATTATCTGCCATCTGAATTTGAACCTAGGTCATCGTAACACTTGCTATCGTTAGACTTCCTTCATTATATTTCAAGTTGTATATACAATTACTTTCTTAAGCTTTAGCTAGTTCGTTCCAGTTTAGACACTTTTCCACAACCTCAAAGATTTGTTTTTTGTGTGCAGGTCCTGGGGTTTGAACTCAGGGCCTAGGTGTTGTCCCTGTGCTAGTTTTCCTCTACCACCTGAGCCATAGCTCTACTTTCAACTTTTTTTTTTTGTCGGTCGTGGGGCTTGAACTCTGGACCTGGGCACTGTCCTTCAGCTCTTCTGCTCAAGGTGAGTGCTCTACTGCTTGAGCCACAGTGCCACTTCCAGTTTTCTAGTGGTTTATTGGAGGCAAGAGTCTCACAGACTTTTCTGCCTGGGCTGGCTTTGAATCGTGATCCTCCTGAGATTTCAGCCTCCTGAGTAGCTAGGATTACAGGCATGAACCACTGGCGCCCAGCTACTTTAAACTTTTTTGGTAGTTTACTGGAGATAAAGAATCTTACAGACTTTTTCCTATCAGGGCTGGCTTTGAACAGCAATCCTTAGATCTCAGTCTCCTGAGTAACTAGGATTACAGGTGTAGGCCACCAGTACTTAGCAAGACTGATTTATTTTAAGGTGAAAATAAATAGAAAAGTTTACCTGATGAAGCAATTAGCTATAAGTACATTTAGAAAGAGTAAGAAGGGGAAAAGACATTTCTATTAAAATCAAGTAAATTTCTACTCTTGAGGCAAATATATTCTTGGAATTCTGGGACAATTAAGAAATATCAAAACAGCAAGTACTGGTAGCTCATCCCTGTAATCTTAGCTGCTCAGAGGCTGAAATTTGGAGGATCACAGTTCAAAGCCAGTCCAGGAAAAAAAAAGTCTGAGACTCTACCTTTAACTAACCACCACTAAAATATCAGACTGAGGAGGCAGGGCTCAGGTGGTAGAGTACCAGCTATGAGCAAGAAAGCTGAGTCAATGTTTGAAAGCTTTAAGCTTAAACACCTGGACTGGCACCAAAAAGGGGAGGAGGGTACTAATACTTTAAGAACAGACCACCAAAATATTCTTTGTTCTAGTGGTATATTTCGCTTTCTTTTTATTTTTTGGCAGGACAGGGTTTGAACTTGAGCCTTAGGCTTGCTAGGAGTTCTTACTACTTTCACAATGGAGGTAATTAGGCTTTTGTCATGTAAGATATTTACAAGCTTTCTAATACCCAGTGTTGCAATCTGATTCCTAGAGTTGAATTTTTCTATTTAACACTTTCTATAGAAATTTTATCTGCCTAGAGTAATTTCAGTATTTCCAACCATTATCTTCAACAGTAACTCCAAAATGCCATTCCTTTAGTATGCTGTCTACATTCAACTGTGTAACATCCTTCAAAATAAAAGCTAGAAATTGGTCTGCTTTCATTGCTGTTCTTTAAACTCAGCTTATAAACACACTCAGATTTTAGACTTTAAATATACAAAGACTAATATGTAGTCATTTGTACTAACAAAACATCACACTTGCTTTAAATAACCAATTGAAAGTATCCAGGCACAAAGAAAAACTGCAATACAAAATTGTGAGGGGGAACCAGGAGCTGGTGGCTCATGCCTGTAATCCTAGTTATGCAAGAGGCTGAGATCTGAGGATCACAATTCAAAGCCAGCACGGGCAGGAAAGTCCCTGATACTATTATCACTTATTAACGATCTAAAAGCTGGAAGTAGAGCTGTGGCTGAAGTGGTACAGTGCTAGCATTAAGTGAAAAAAAAAGTTCAGGGGACAGCGCCAGGCGCTGAGCTCAAACCCCGAAAAACCCACTGCGAGCAAAGGAGCGTGTGTGGGTGCATGGGTGCGTGCGTGCATGCGTGTGTGTGTGTGTGCCAATAACAAGTATTTATTTTGTGGTGCTATTTTGTGAAGTTAGAGCTTTTCACTCACTTGAGTCAATCCACTGGCTTTATTTCATTTTGGGGATGCTACCACTATTTCACATTCAAATTTTAACATTATCCTTGATGCTCAGTACATACCCACCTCATCTCAAAAGTAAAGCCAGATCATAAAGTTGTACTTCTCCTAAGCAATGTTTTGAAACAGCCCTTTTACTATGTGCATCAAAATTCATCCACTACATAAACTCTAGAGAGGACATCATTTCTCAAACTAATAAAAGAAGCACTGTGTGCAGAATATTTAGAGAAACAAAACAAAATGTATTAAATGTCTTTACTTTGAAACTTCCCCAAGATTGAAGACAAAGGATAACAAAAGTAGCTTTGAAGACAGACAAAAGATAACAAAGGTAGCTTTAAAATCAGGTAGAATAAAAGAATTTATCATCTACTATGTCCAAATCTATCACATGAAGGTATCATTAAACCACAGATAAATTAAGTCCATTGTGCAAAAAGTAAAAAAAACCTCAAAGCCCAAACCAACTACATGATAAATTGATGTTAAACACATAAAACAGTAATCACTAAGATATGCACTTTAATTAAGGAGATAAGTAACTTCATTATACATATAATTTCATCATTAAACCAGGCCCCAGTAGCTCACACCTGTAATTCTAGCTATGCAGGAGACTGGAGATGAGAGCAATGCTGTTTGAGGCCAGGCCAGGTAGAGAAGTTCAGGAGACTCCATCTCAATGTAAAGAATTTGAGTGTGGTGGCAAGTACTTGTCACCCTATCCATGATACGAAGCCTAAAGCAGGTAGATCATGGCCCAGGTGGTCACCTGGGCAAGAAGTAAGACCCTATCTCAAAAATAATCAATACAAAAAGGGATGGAGGTATAACTCAGTAGTAGAGTCCCTGCCTAAGCACAAGGTCCTGATTTCAAACACCAGTACTAAGAAAAAGAAAAGTTAATTGGTACAAAATCAAATTATTTAGCAAAGAATCATATTTAATAAAAGCAACATTACACATAAATGAGATATTCCTTCAATGATTATAATTCACTGTATAATGCACAAAAAATGTTTTGAAATTCTCAATAGTTTTTTCCCTAAAAGCCCTACCTTGTCGTTGGTGTCCAATACAATGGTGCTATGTCTCCACTTTGTTAGCACTATTGGTTCTTGCAGCCGCCTGTCCAGACTTCTACTTTTAATTATGTCTCTTTGCTGCTGGGATGAAGCATTATACTGAAGAAAAAATATATATACTTTATAAATAATAGAAACAAATACGGAATCTAAATGATTTTTAGGTAAGGCTGATCATATGACACCACCATGAATTTTCTGGTTTTTCTTATCTTTGACCAGCATTGTGACAAAACCCAAAAGATCACAGACTTTAGGGACAGAGAGACCCAGTAGTATTATCTTTCATCAAATGAAAAATAGAGATAACAGAAACATCTCTTCATAGCATTGCTCCACAGAGTAAACAAAGTCTAAAATCTATCAATATTGTCTGGCAGTATGTTCTCCATAAATAACAACTATCATAATTTATAAATACGTTCAGTGAACAAATATTTTGTAACAGTGAATATACTTCTAAAATCTACATGAATTTAATTTTTGGTATAAGTCTTTAATGATTACATACTTAAAGTATCCTTATATTTGTGTGTTGCTGGGTTTTAGAATTTATCTTTGTTTTCACTTAAAGCTCAAGCATACTATTACTTGTTTTTCCCAAGTGACACTAGTTCTAATGGTCAATTCTGAATGCATCAATTGTGTACAAGATAACCACAGCCCCTCCCAAAAGAATGCAAATAAACTTAAGAAAGTCAGTAGTTTACTAAATGATGTAAGAACTTGAAATGCCTGGAAGTGGCGCTGTAGCTCAAGTGGTAGAGCGCTCGCCTTGAGCTGAAGAGCTGAGGGACAGCGCCCAGGCCCAGAGTTCAAGCCCCACGGCCGACAAAAAAAAAAAGAATTTGAAATGCCAAATAGATTACCAAGAAAAAAACATTTGGGAAGTGTTAACACCTTGAGAGAAATATGCTATCTTATATAAACAATATAAAAAATATTTTTTTAGAAATCTTCTTTTTGACAGGTAACATTCCTTTTCTAAAACTACAAGGACCTAACAACAACTCCCTTCACCCTTAAACTCTTAACTTGTAATGACTTTGGATATATCTCAACACAGCTGCATTTCAGTCATGTTTTAATATCTAAAAAGTCTTGTTATATTTTTTTGGGGGGGACAGGGAAGGTCCAGTTGTGGGGCCTGAACTCTAGGCCTGGGCGCTGTCCCTCAGCTCTTCAGCTAAAGGCTAGCACTCTACCATTTGAGCCACAGTGCCACTTCTGGCTTTTTTTTTTCTGCTTATGTGGTGCTGAGGAATGGAACCTAGGGCCTCATGCATGCAAGGCAAGCGCTCTACCACTGAGCCACCTTCCCAGTCCCTCTTGCTACATTTTTGTCTCCACAATATGTAGCGTTTTTTTTCTTTCTCCAAAATCAATCCACAGGAGCCTCTCCAATTGTTTCTCAAAGCTGATACTCCCCTTGCCTTCACAAAATTTGCTAAAGTTAGGCAATCATAGATAGGTAGTGTTTGTTTTCTAATTTAGGTGTTTGGTTTTTTTGTTTTTTTTTTGACAAAAAGCAATCTTAAGAAAGAAGTTCACCAAGGGACCATTTCTAGACTAAACAAGGACGATATTTAAAGGCCACCAAAAACATTCTGTGCCAGAAACAGAATGGATAGATGGAGATATTATTTCATAAATTACCTTAAATACAAGTTCAATGTTAAAGCTTACCTTTGGCAATTCCCATTCTGATCGAGATCCATCCGCACTGTAGTAATATTGTCTGCCTTGATCATCAACATGCTTGAGCCACTATAAAAGCAAAATGTTATTTTTTTATTTAAAAAAAAGTAAATTTAAGTTGCTACTACCAGATATATTATATACTGTTCTTATAAATTTTATTATTCTACTTATCACAACAAGCCAATTGTTCACACCTATAATCCTAGCTACTCAGGAGGTTGAGATCTAAGGATCACGGTTCAAAACTAGCCCAAAACTGGGAGTGGTGCTATGGCTCAAATAGTTAAGTGCTAGCATGAAGCACAAAGAAGTTCAGGGACAATGCCCAGGACCTGAGTTCAAGCCTCACGACCAATAATAACAACACCAAAAAGAGTTAAGTTTGTCAAAAAAAATATAGTACTTAATATTATTGTGAATTTTTCTTTCCCTAATTTCAGGACAGTGATTCTAGCATCATCTAAGAAACACAGGACCCAGACGCACAGATATACATGTATACTAAAACATAGATACACTTTTATCCTGAAGACAAGCTTGAAACATTAATGCAAGAGGAATTATTTCTCAATCTTCAAATATAAAACATAACAACTTAAATCTGCTTTCTACAAACTCGGAATTACTTCCCTTAGCCAATCAATGTATCTTAATGCAATTAAATAACAGAAATAAAAGAACTTCATGCAGTATAACACAGGTTATATGATGGAGAAAAGACTATGTACCACCTATTTTTACAATAAAAAACGTACAAAAAAAAAAAAAAAAGACTACCACCAACCTATGATCTACCTTCATTATGCTATAATTGAAAACTACCTCTTCTATATATATATTTTTAATGTCAAATAACTGAAGCAGGAAGTAGAATGAAAGTTTATTCCCATTTATCATCAAGAATCTCTAAACTAGCAAATTAACTAGTTATCTTCTTAAATGATACCATATGTAACACAAAATTTCAACATTCACTTCCAACCCAATTAAATCACAAAAACATTAGATTCGTGCTTTAGTTTTACAGAAATTTGGTGATAATGAAAAAAAGAGTACTGGTAGTAAGACACACATAATAGGTTGGAAACACAATTTTCAAAACTTTCCTCCAGAAAATATTTTTTTATTGGATAAATTTCAACAAATGACATGTCACAAATATACCCTGATTAATTTGAAATGTGTCATCATCACAAAAGTCACTGCTATTTTAACAGTTTACAATAATGAACCAGGACTGGGGTAGACAAATTGTTTAGCACTTGCCTCGCATGTTCAAGGTCATAGGTTCCATCTTCAACACCATCAAAATAAATAGGCAAGGGCTGGGAAGGTGGCTCAGTGGTAGAGCGCTTGCCTTGCATGCATGAGGCCCTGGGTTCAATTCCTCAGCACCACATAAGCAAAAATGAAAAAAGCCGGAAGTGGCGCTGTGGCTCAAGTGGTAGAGCGCTAGCCTTGAGCTGAAGAGCTGAGGGACAGCACCCAGGCCCAGAGTTCAGGCCCCACGACCGGACCCAAAAAAAACCCAAAATAAATAAGTAAAACCATGAGTCAGTAGTTATACTAAGTTTTCGCGTTTTCAATTCACATGACTGTAGAATTACCAGGATGTGTGTATATATGTATGTATATATGTATGCATGTAGCTATCTTGCTGTATATTGCAGGATGGCCTTGAACTATGCCATTCAGGTTAGCTTGGAACTAAAAATAATCCTGCCTCAGCCTCCAGAGTACTGAGATTATAGGAATGCACCACCAACCTGGCTGAGTTTTTAAATACTACTAAAACTTCATTACACAATTATATTTTATGAGAGGATTCTGCCAAGTAATACTAGATGAGAAAAAAAGAAAGTACCTTTTCATTAGTATAGTCACTGGTATATAAGGTATGCCCACGTTCATCCAACTCTTCTGACCAACCCCTTGGAGGAGAACCACACTGACTATCTGACTGGCTGTAACAAATGCTGTGGTAGTTTTCTTCTGATGAAAGAAGCTATAAATAGTCAGAAACATAAGGATTTTTCTTCTTTGAATATAAATATGCAGCAAGTGAAAAATATAAGAGACTGAATTTACTTGGCCAGTACTAGGACATGTATTTGACTATTTCATTCTCAAGACAAATAGATATTTTTAAATAGTACAATGTAAGTCAGGACATAAAGTTAATAACTGTTAGTTACTTAATATTAATGCAACCTTACAAATCAATTACCATAATAAGACTGTAAACATGCTTTCTAGTTAGAGGAACGATAAAATGCTACTTTTTATTTAATGTTGCTTTCAAAGAGAAATCTCATTATAAACTAAAGGGTATGTATGTATACAGATATCCATATGTAAACAATGAAGGAAATGAGGGAACATCACTAGACTAAGCCTCTTATAAATTCTCGTTCATTAGTATATCACAAGTACAAAACCAAATATGGCAAATAAATATATATTTTTAAAGTACATAGAAGAGGATAGAAAAGACATTTAGCTTTTAACTCTGTACTTAATATTCTAATTTATTAGCAAGTTACCCTAATTTATTCAACCAAATGCTGATTAAAGTTGACTGGAAGTCAAATTTCAAAACAAACAAAGTACTGAGAACATTCAGATATATAAAGATTAGAAATTCAGAATGTAAATAAGACAGGTATGCATAAAAAATTTTCCAGTCAAAGAAGAGGAACAAAGTAGATGACAGAAAACTTGAAAAAAACTTTGATGGTGCTTAACAAGCAAAGGGCACTATTTTATGACTTTGGTGGCTTTTTCATACTCTATTTAAATTTCAGTTATTCAACTATTTACTAGATTGGTACAGTGAGTAAACCTTACTGAATTAGACTGTATTTTCTACCACCATAATTAGTTGTGAAACATGACAGTAAGTAAATTCTCAGTGTTTATAAAAGTATATACAGCCTAACAGGATGTTTACAAAAACAAACAGGAAAGAAAAACTGCAGTAGTACTATATGAAATAAGCTGCATGTATTTTGCAATAATAACACTTTCAAAAATAGACAACCTAACTCAAAATTGAGATATCTATTTATTTGATATAACATGTAAGATCACAATAAAATCTTTTACAAAAAGAAAAAGGGGCAATCTAACTAGTAAAAATTAAATTAACAAAATCACTAAAGAAGTTTTTCAGAAAGACAACTTTGTAATTGACAAGGCACTCATCAAAATGTTACTATTTTTGTCTGATAAGATGACTTCTACTGCCAAGAAAAGTAACTTTAAGTATCGTTGTATGTTTTACTATATTACAAAACCAGGAACAGCTTTAAGATCATAACATCTACTGCTAGAAAACAGCAGTTTAATGCAGTTAAATAAAAATTAAGAACATACTGGCAAGAATTCTCCATGATAACGTTTCTACAGTACACATAACTCTATTCAAGAGGCGAACTGGCATAGTAACTTTGGGATATATTCTGCAACAAATGTACTTTAGCAGATATATCAGTGGCTATCATACATTCTATATGGGAGAATGACAAAATTATATTCCAATTGCTCAGCAGGATGAAAAACTGCTGAAAATGTTACTTTATAAAAAACAGTAATTAGGAGATTAGTCAGAAAACATTCAGAGGTAAATACTAAGTAGAAAGAAAAGAATCCACAAAGTACAATTTAAAAAGAGATCCGTTTCTGTTGGGCACAGGTGGCTCATGCATGCAATCCTAGCTATTCTGGGACCACTCTGAAGGCTGGGATCTGGAGGATTACCATCTGAAGCCAGTCATCCAATTAACTAGCAAGAATTCAGGCTGGAGACATGGGTAACTTGTCAGTATCAGCAGAGCAAGAACGCCAGATGAGCTCAAGCCCTAAGACCGCAAAAGGAAGAAGAAATAAAAACAAAAGACCTGCTTTTTGCTTGGAGATACCTGCCAAACCCCAAAGTAGAATGTCAGTTCTTAAAGTTATGAAAAGAAAATTGTGGAGGCAGACTCAGGAATACTGTCATGAGTCTCAAAAGATAACCCATAAATCTGAACTGAGACCACCACCACTACCACCACCACCAAGAAATCAAACTCACTATTGTGAGGGAGCTGCAAACAAATGCTGACCCTGTATTTCACACTAGACAAATCATAGCAATCTTTCTGCAATAACTGAGGAGAAAAAAATGAGAGGTTGGGAGAAGACCACAAGGTAGTCTTCATAACAATACAAATACTACTACCTATGTAGCCTGCAAAAAACAAAAAACAAAAGAAAAAACAACTAAACATTCATGGAATACTAGCTTCCCTAGAGAGAAACAAAAGCCAACTCTTTTCTGAAGGAACCAATTTTCAGCTCACTAAGGACATGCCATTTATAAAATGTCAACATTAAAACACACATACACATATAAAGACAGGAAACAAAAGCACCATAAACAAGAATCAACAGACAAGTAGTATAATCAGAAACTTTATATACTGAACTAACACAAGACTAAAGGGAGATATGATAAATAAACGCAATATATGATTCTTCATTCCAAGAAAATATAAAGGATATTACTTGGCAAATGAGAAACACTGACTATAAGTAAGATATTAAATAATATATCAATAATAAATTTTTTAAACATTAGTATAGCTTTGCTGAAGATTGTCTTCATACTTAAGAAATAAAATACGTTGTTTTCTTTAAATCAGAAGCAAATTACGTGTGTGTGTGTGTGTGTGTGTGTGTGTGTGTGTGTGTGTGTGTGTGTGTGTAAACTCAAGGAAGGATGGGAAAGTAAATGTCAAATGTTAGCAACTGAAACAAGTGTAAGTAAAGATACATTATGTACAGTATTTTTTGCAAGACAAATTATACTTTATTTATTTTGAGGATATCTGTATGTGGTATTCTGATGTTCACTGTACTATTCTTTCAACATTTTTGTGGGCTCAAAGAGGTAGATACTAAAAAGTGAAAAATAATAAGCAGAGCGAGATCTGTAGGTAGTAAAAATGAAGCACACAGACACACAGACAGTAAGCACAGAATTCTAGAAGAAGAGAAAATGGAGCAGAGGCTATAAAACCTCAGAACTTGCCAGAACTGCTAAAAGACAGAACTACTCAAATTCAAAACTCCAGCAGGATTTTTTTTGAAATTTTGTAATGATCAGGACAAAGAAAATGGCCCTTTAAGCTCATGTATTGAAGGCTTAGGACCAGCTAATAGTGCTAAGTTGACTAAACCATGACAACATTAACCTCATCAATAGAGATGGGGCCTAATTGGAGGCAGTAGATCACTGTGGATGTGTCTTCTATTGTTATATTTTGCCCCTGGTCTCTTTCTCTTTCCTTTCTGCCTTCTGGCCACCATGAAGCCATCAGTTTTACTCTGCCATCCTCTCCTGTCATGATATTCTGCCTTACCCCAGCCTCAGATACGACAGACCTAAAAAACTATGAACCAAAACAAACTTTTTCCTCCACTGGGTAGATTTCCTAAAGCTGTCACAACAATGGAAAAGATACTAACACCCACTCATATATGAAATCACAGATCTTAAAAGCTACCAGCAAAGAAGACACTAGCAAGCCAAGTATAAAAGTATACACCTGTAATCTCAGTACTTAGGAAGGTGAGGCAGGAGGATTGTGAGTTTGGAGATAGCCAAGACTATACGGCAAAAGTTTGTCTCAAAATTAAAAAAAAAAAAGTTGGGCTGGGAAGGTGGCTCAGTGGTAGAGCGCTTGCCTTGCATGCATGAGACCCTGGGTTCGATTCCCCAGCACCACATAAGCAAAAAGAAAAAAAGCCGGAAGTGGCACTGTGGCTCAAGTGGTAGAGCGCTAGCCTTCAGCTGAAGAGCTGAGGGACAGGCCCAAAGTTTAGGCCCCACGACCAGACCCCCCCCCCCCAAAAAAAATTAAAGACAATTAGAATGCCAGCTGGACTTTTAGCATTAATAATAAAAGCCAAAAAACATTAGAATTAGAAATGAAACAAGTAAATATTAAATTTGAACTTCTATGTTCAGTAACAAATTTTCTCCAAAAATAAAGTTCCAAACAAAAACTAATAGAAAGTTAGGAAACAAAAACTAGTAGTCAGTAAAGAATTTAAACATATGCACTTAAGACAGAAGAAAATATGAGAACAAAAAAATGTGAGAAAGTAAAATTAAGGTGACATTGATCAAGACACAGTGTATTCATAAACTGCTTTATTAAATGGCAACTCCTTTGTACAACTACTTACATCTAATAATAAAAAGGAAAAATCTTTTTTTAAAAGTGAGTAATCGGGCTGGGAAGGTGGCTCAGTGGTAGAGTGCTTGCCTTGCATGTATGAGGCCCAGGTTCAATTCCTCAGCACTACATAAGCAGAAAAATCATAAGTGGTGCTGTGGCTCAAGTGGTAGAGTGCTAGCCTTGAGCTGAAGAGCTGAGGGACAGTGCCCAGGCCCAGAGTTCAAGACCCATGACTGACCAAAAAAAAAAAAAAAAAAAGTGAGTAATCTTGTACAAGGAGACTAAAAACAAATAAAATATATAAGAACAGTAACACAACCACTTACATAGTTCTTACAAGTCTTTACAGAGCAAAATAAACCAGTAAATGTTAGACTTTGAAATAAACAGATGTTGAAATGTCTAAGGCAGCAGCACTGTTGACATGTCAGGCCAGATAACCCTTTGTCTTTTTTTTTTTTTTTGGTCCGGTCGTGGGGCCTGAACTCTGGGCCTGGGTGCTGTCCCTCAGCTCTTCAGCTCAAGGCTAGTGCTCTACCACTTGAGCCACAGCGCCACTTCTGGCTTTTTTTCTTTTTGCTTATGTGGTGCTGAGGAATTGAACCCATGGCCTCATGCATGCAAGGCAAGCACTCTACCACTGAGCCACCTTCCCAGCCTCAACCCTTTGTCTTTTACAGAGATTCAGCAGCACCTTTTGCCACTGTACAGTAGATATCAATAGTACACCCCATGTGATAAATCAGAAAGTCCCAAACATTTCCAAATGACCCTGCAAGCAATATTTGTTTCTAGGTTAGAGCCTAGTCAAGCATAACCACTAAGATACTAAGTTTATCTGTTTAAGACAGAAATGTGAATGTCTATTCCCCTTCAAATGCCATGAAAATTAAGAATAGTGATATATGCTTAAGAATATGTAACAAAAACAGAGAGACACAAATGGAGACAAGAGTTAGTAGATGAACAAAACCTCGACTACCCATGCAGCATACAGCAGAATCTTTACCAATACAACAGAATCTTTACCAAGGAATGTGAGGGCAAATGAAAGCCAGCAATTGTACAAAGAGAAATCCACAAATAGAAACTGTTAGCATTAGGAACCTCTGAAACTACGGTGGGGAGGAAGGATGAAGGCAGGAGTGTGCTAAAATCAGGAGGGTAGAAATTGTCATGATCCCTTCTTAATACATAACATTAGGTATGTGCCCATCTCTTACCCAGCAATATGGAGTGAAACATACTCTGAAGAGGTGAAAACAGTAATACCCTCTGTTGTGACACAAAAGACATAACTGAGACATGGGTACCAGAGATAGTAGAAACTAAGAAACCATCTACAAAATGAATGCTGACGCTAAGACACTAACAGACTTCACAACATCTACATATTGAACGCTGACACTAAGACCCCAACAGACTTTGTCTTCTGGACAGATGAGCTAAAAATTTCTATGTAGACTATAATTAGTCCAAATGCGAAGACCCAAAAGATCCAATATTGGAGATTCCCCAACCCAGAATCTCATTCAAGTCAAATTCAAAATGCTTTGTAATTGTGAGGGAAATTATTTCCAACACAGATGGCCTGTGATCAATTACATATGACAGCAGAACAAGGACATTTTCATACACATACACACGGTCTCAATTTTATCTTCCATATGCAATGTTTCCCAAGAAGTGATAGAAGATGTGCTCTAGCTACTTGGGAAATATTGTTACATAATTGATGCAGAGACTAGAAGTTTAAGATAAGACTCTGACAGACAAATCACTTTCATCTCTTACTAAAATAGAAAGTTAAGAAACATACTTAAAGTTTCTGTGTATGTTTAAACTTGTTCTCTAACTTAAACTTTTCCCTAATTCTTCCAAATTATCAGATTTTACTTTAGTATTATATGATACATGGGCAGTTTATTTTAAATCTTTCTAGTCCTAGAAATTGAAACAAAAATTTCCTAACTTCTTATAGGTCAGCAGAAACCAGGTCTCTATTTTTATGCTCATTTTTGAACATTAAAAGGTACAAGTCATTGCCAAACAAAAGCTATGAATACCCAACTGAAAAACAGGACAAGATGCGAGTTATTTATCACAGGAAAGTTTTTTTAGGTTACATTAAACGTCACCTGACTTCTTCAGCTCCTACTTTCCTGGAGTTCCACATTTAGTTACACTCACTAGATGCTTCCTCTAAGAAAAGCATGTAACTTGTATGTGTAGGGGTTGGCTCCAGTTTATAAAATGGCAAGTTTTCATTCCATTCCACCAATCCTACTACCTTTTTCCTGGAAACCTACACATTCCCAAGACATTTCATCAGATCTCAAAATTAAGTGTTTCTCAAAATATAACTAGTAAATCCTCTACATCACCCTGGAGAGGATGTGGGAGAAAATGAAAACAAAAAACAAAGCATAGGAAATGTTATAAACATGTTAGAGAAAACAGTAATCTCAGAATGAACTGTCACACTTACAGAATGACCTAATGCAGCAAAGGTATTATCCTTAGTTCCTTTATGTAGAAATATAAATAAAAGGTATCCTTGTGCCTCTGACACAAGAGAAAAAGGAGAAGGAGCTTGGTAGCTCCTCTCACACATAAACGTATTTGTTTAAATCAGTTCAACAGCTTTGTACTTAACTGGCGAGGTCACACACATTTCCCTTCTTTTTCACTAGCTTATATAATAAGTTAGTGTCCTCTAACATATAAAGGGAAGCATTGGCAATAGACAACTTTGTTCCAGTTCTAGAAACAGTAAGCACAATGTTAGCTCAATGTTAGCTACTTCCCACTAGTTAAGAGATTAGAAGGGCTTTAAACTAATAAAGCTTTGAAAGAATTTTTAGTATCTCAGAGGCTTAAGTGTTCTACCATGCTAATAACAAGAAATAAAACCATTTATTCTTTTGTTTCCGAGTAATGAAGAGACAAAATTGGGAAACATACTGGTTGAATCCTTAATTACCCATACCTCTTGATCTCCTGAACTCTGGAAATCTCCTTTGCTTATACTTGCATCCCGAGTCCATCGAGGTGGTTTCCAAGTTCTTTCCTGTGTTCCTCGGTTATAGTAATAGCAACGCCCTGAACTATCTTTGTGAGTTTCCCATTCTCCATTAATCTGGATTGCTGGGCTCCCAGGAAGTGGAGGAAGAGCAGACTGAGATATTTTCAGTTCTTGTAGGTTAGCATAAACAGGAGAATCTGGCCTTCCTTGATTTGGAGGTGTATTTGCCTGTGAAATAAAAGTTTTAAATTTCATGTTTAAAATTGTGTAACATTTAAAAATTGAAATGATATTTAAGAAGAGATTTATAAATATGCATACTAACTCATTTTAAAATATACAAAAACCATTAAGAGGATCTGGGAGTATAAGTCTATAAGAAAGTATTTGGCTAGCATGTGAGATGCTCCACACTGATAATTAGCACTACAAGAAAACACACAAAAACATGAAAGTAAAAAAAAAAAATTAAGAGGAAGGACTATCAATTTAAAAATTAGTAAAAATGACAAGGATATATGCTGAAAAATAAATTTATCATTCAAAGTTTGAAAATGAGTACAGAAAAATTTCAAATGGAATGCAAAGTATAGCATACTGAACTAGAAGTTGTGGATTCTAATTCAAGACCTGGCTCTAAAAGATGTGTGCCACTAGACAGGGTCACTTCACTTCTCTGAACGTGAGATATTTAATTTCTGTAAATGAAAGAACTAGACTAAATAATGTTTTCTTGGCTCTAAAATTCTAGCCTCTTAGGCAACATTTTGAAAACAAAAGAAGTCTAACACATATATAACTCAGCTTTTATTCAGAAAGCTATCACCAGAAGAATTTTATAGGCTAAGTTACATCAGGAATAGAAGTGGTAAAAAAAAAAAAGAGCTAAGAACTTTCTGGATTCCATTTCTTCTCAGTAATACTTTCCCTATAACCACAAATAATTTAATCTAGCTAGTTCCTCTGTGAATTTCTTACCAGTAAAAAATTGAAAATGAGCTGTAACTCACTGATATACATGTTTAATCTTAACCTACATTTTTACTTTTTACAGGTTTTTTTTTTTCCAGTGCTGAAGTTGTACAGCTAGATATGCACTCTACCACTGAGCAACATCTCCCATCCTACTTTTTATATTTTTTTACTATGTGTCAGTAAAAACGCAGAACACTCTTCAGATACTGCATAAAGACACTACAGATTATATTAACTTATACTGAATTCCAGTTGCTTAACGGGAAATGTTCACATTTCAGGACTGTTTATATTCTATATTCATATTTATGTCCATATTTTCTTTTGAGAACAAGTTTCTCAAGCTCAGCATCACTGTCTGTGCACTGAGACGTTCACTAGCACCCATGGCTTCTGCCCACTAGGTCACATACAAATACTTCCATTATAGCAACCAAAGTCTCCAGAAATTGTATCTGGGGACAAAAAGTGTGCCTGAGTGGAAGCCTACCTATGGTAAAGACTTAAGAGTCAGAGATGTTCAATAAGTTGTCATGTATCCAGCCAGAGTTGTAAGAATGTCTAACAGGGCTGGGAATCTGACTTAGTGGTAGAGTGCTTGCCTAGAATGCATGAATACCTGGGTTCAGTTGCTCAGTACCACATAAACAGAAAAAAGGCAGAAGTGGCGCTGTGGCTCAAGTGGTAGGGTACTAGCCTTAAGCAAAAGAAGCTCAGGGACAGTGCCCAAGCCTTGAGTTTAAGCCCCAGAACTGGCAAAAAAAAAAAAGTCTTAGCAGTTAATTTTATCATTGTATTGATGTGATATATTATGGTGAATGATTAGTGTATATCAAACCATCTTTAAGTCTTGGAATGAAACCAATTTGATCCCAGTGTACAAAATACACTAAATCCAACTTGAATTATGATAGTGAAATAAGCCAAACACAGAAACACACAGAAAATTTTCACTATCAGATGTTCTCTCTCTTATGTATAAGGAAACTTAAAAAAAAAATGAACTTGGTCTGAAAAGAGAATAGTCATTACTAGACAATAAAAAGGGTGTGAGGAACAGGAAACTGAAACCTAGATTGGATAGCTAGATATGATCAATGCATACTATATGCATGAATGGAAACATTGCACTAAGTTAAATTACTAAAAGTAATAAAATGTAGGTAATAAATTTAAAAAGAAATATACTATACTATGAATCAGTTTTACTCAAAGTACTTTAACTTCTAAAATAGTATTTGCATATAAAATAGTTTTAGTGAGTCTAAATCACAGGACAAACTTAAAAAAAAGAGCCAACAATAAAAGTAACCCCAAACCATGAGTACGTGATTATAAAATGGTTACCTTTGGTCTTTTCACACATGCTAGTTATGCAAGTACTGTTTTTGATGCTGCAACTTAGACTGCTTTCCTAAACATGTTATTGTCAAAACTAGACCATACTCAACAACATTATTTCTGTGAAGAAAACACACTCATAGAGATAGGTATCCATTTATTTTTCTTAGACTAATTTCATATCCTAAAAAATAATCACAATGTTTTCTGCAAAAGGAAAAAAAAATTCTGTAAAAATAATTCTGTAAATTGTCTTTTAGAATTTTATCTAGAGAATATTAATTTAAGAAGTATTAAAAGAATTCTTACTTTGCTCCTAATTCTTCACTAGAACTTTGGGGAAAAGAAAAGAACAAATAGCTGTCTTTTAAATCAGAGACAAAGTCTACTAAATCTTTGAGAAACAATTCATATTATTTAAGCAGCTCAAATTTAAAATTTTTACAACTGAAAATTGATATGCTTCAACAAGGCCAGCATAATTTTAAAATCATGAAGAATTAAATAAAAGAATATCTTAAACATCACTTGCATAGATGAAAATATTCTAAAAAAAATTCAGCAATCAAATCCAAGACTTCATTAAATAAATCAGGAAAAACAGAGATGTTAAGAAAATCTGTTTAAAAGAAACTTCATACTATAATTCTTTTGGCTAACATGATTATCTGCACAAACATCCAGAAAATCTGATAAAACTCAACTTGGATTCCAGATAAAACTTTTCAAAATTTAGGAACAGGTAATCCTTCTTTAAATTGACTTTTAGAAATTATTAAAATCCAAACTAAGTGTCATATCTAAGACAGATAAAAGTACTTTAAGAATAATCCAGGGCTGGGAAGGTGGCTCAGTGGTAGAGCACTTGCCTTGCATGCCTGAGGCCCTGGGTTCGTTTCCTCAGCACATAAGCAGAAAAAAAAAAGGCCGGAAATGGCGCTGTGGCTCAAGTGGTAGAGTGCTAGCCTTGAGCTGAAGAGTTGAGGGACAGTGCCCATGCCCAGAGTTCAGGCCCCACGACCAGACCAAAAAAATAATAATAATAATAATAATCCAGGACTGGGAAGGTGGCATAGTGGTAGAGTGCTTGCCTAGCATGCATGAAGCCCTGGGTTCAGTTCCTCAGTACCACATAAACAGAAAAGGCCAGAAGTGGTGCTGTGGCACAAGTGGAAGAGTGCTAGCCTTGAGAAAAAGGAGCTCAGGGACTGCGCCCAGGCCCTGTGCTCAAGCCCCAGGATTAGCACAAAAAGAATAACCCAAGGACACCAAGTATCACTACTTGTATTCAACCTTGAAGTTCTAAATAATACAATATTAAAACATAAGCTCAAGCAGAGCACCAGTGGCACACGCCTGTAATCCTAGCTGCTCAGGAGGCTGAGATCTGAGGATCGTGGTTCAAAGCCAGCCCAGGCAGGAAAGTCTGTGAGATTCTTATCTCCAATAAACCACTCAGAAAACCGGAAGTGGCACTGAGGCTCAAGTGGTAGAGCATTAGCCTTGAACTGAAGAATACAGGGACAGCACCCAGGCCAAGTTCAAGCCTCACGAAAAAAAAAAAATAAGCTCCTACGTATCTAAGGGAGGAAAAAACTATCTTTGTCATCCAAATGGTATCCACACTCCCATATCCAAAAACCTACTAAAAAGTCACATGCCAATGGCTCACAACTACAATCCTAGTTACTTAAGCAGGTGAAAATCAGAGTTACTGAAGCTCAAAGCAAGCCTGAGCAAAAAAATCTGAGAGCTTTTTTATCTCAATCAATTGCTGGATACAGTGGTTCATACCTGTCATCCCAGCTACACATATATTAAGGTGGGGAGGATTGCAGTTCCAGACAAGCCTGGGCAAAAAAAGTTCCCAAGACCCGTTATCTCAACAGGAAAAAAAACAAACAAACCTGGGCATGATAATACACACCTGTGATCCTAGCTACAGCACAAAGTATAAAAAATGGATAAATAGGAGGATATAAGTACAGCCAGGCCCAGGCAAAAGGGAGACCCTATCTAAAAAGGAACTAGGTATGTGGCTCAGGTAGTTTAACTCCTGCCTGGCAAATACAAAGCTCTTAAGTTCAAACCCCAGTACTGCCCTATCTTTCCAAAGAAAAAAGATGCCATCTAAAAATTCAAAGTATTAATAAAAACTAAAACCTTACAAGCTTTATTTTTTGGACTCACAAGAGTGACAATGCTATATTAGAATAAAAATAAGTGTTTCGTAAAGGGTAGTCAATAGATTAGCTTATATAGAAATCATCTATGGGTATATATTAAAATTTTTGGACCATATCCCAGAGTTACTGGAGATTCATGTTTGTTTGGTTTTTCTTTTAGTTTTCTGAATGCCCTATGTCATTTTTATGTACACTACAAAATACACTGATAAAATTCATTTATACTGAGTGGATTTAGAAAAAAACTGGTCCTCAAGCCACTAAATCTGCACTCTAAGAAAACATATACACATGCACATATACATAGTACATATATGTATATATATATACACATATATACATAGCATATGTGTAAATATGTATATACTGTGTATATATTACACATATGTATATATGCTATATGTATACATAATATTCATATATATTTACATATATATAATATATACATATATAGTATGCACATACACATATATATACACATATATGTCAAAGTTTGGTTTACTAACATTTGTAAGAAAAATCTCATTCATAAACAAAAGGGTTTTATACTTGAAAAAAAAACATGAAAAGGAGAACGAGAAAACAAAGGTTAATTTTATGGGTTATATCCATCATTAATTAACAGCTGAATTGGGACCAGTACCATTGCACATGACCCAATTTTATATTCAAAAAAAGATTTGGCCTGTCCCATTTTATCTATAGATAGACTAAAATAATCCTCTC